CTCAATCCATAAGTCTTATATTTGTTTACTCTTTAAAGTCTCCAATAGGTGCTCTAAATCCACATCAGTAGTGACGTATCACGAAAATAGCTCTTTCTTTTTATTGTGTAACTTACGTTAGCTCGTACTCCAAAATGGATAATGATATTCTCATTTTAACTCCCCCACCTCCTCCACTCTACAAACTCTGCCCCAGTGATGTATTTAACTATTATCTCCCACCCACCCCTTGCAAAATCACGTTTAGAAGCCTTTTCTAAGATTCAACAACGGTGGATGAAACGACATTAAGAGCAGGGATTTTACCATCACCAGGCTGTTTATGATATAATGTTAACATCATGGGTTCCTAACTTCACTCAGTACCCTAGCCTGATCAGTTATCTGTTAATGTTCCCTAAATCTACTAATTTAGTCGGGGATAATCCACTGACATACTTTAATATACATGTTCGTTTGATTCAGATGTGCTTATTATATACAATCTGATTCTTTAATAGTTTTACCCTTTTAAAGTGAATCACAGCCAGTCTATTCTGCTGCAGCTCGGTATAGCAATATTATCGCAAATCACGATTTCTTAACTAGAAGTTATCATGCTAATTATTTTTAGATATCGTCCAGGCCTACTTGGCAGTACTTAGATGGTCAGGCTAAATTTCAACTAGAAACAAAAAACAATTTCAACACTGTAAATCTGTAGTTCTCGGGTAAACAAAACTTACAGACTAAAACTTACCAAGGCAGTTGTTTCCAGGATTTATTTTGCTGGCTTGGCACTTTAAATGTTTGTGATGTTTGGGTAGTGGCGCAGTATCTTCTAAAATGCTGACAATTAGCAGGCAGTTTTCTTTTTTGGGAGAGAGCTTTTCAGCTTGTTTGCAAGACTGCGTACAGTTTTTCTCACAGTAAGCACTGAGCAGAGGCAAAACCAACAATGCTTGGTTCATCTTGTGCCACTGTCGAAAAATAAAATGCAGTTATCCTCATTGGAAAAAAGAAAGGCACAGTCTGTGTCATCATCCACTGTGTCTGTTCTCTTCCAGGCCTTCCTGAGTTTCATTCAACAGAGCATCCCTGACTAATGTCACGTATGGACTGTTGGTGTACTTGAGGCTCAAAACGTCCCGTGAGTTTTCAGAATGGTTAGAAATGGCAAAAAGATATTTGCAGGGTAGAAATGTAGACTTGAAGGAGACACACTCACAAACTGGAACTCCCTGCTGCTCCCATTCAATCTAAAGGCATCCTTTCCATAGGTCACACACTTTCTGCTCCATACGAAGAGACAGCCTCTATAGCTTTAAGACTGTGCTTAATAAAACCTCTGGGGCGGTTCCTCAAGAACTTTTGGATAAGTCTGCTGTATGCTATGTACTCTAGGCTATAGGAATAGTTTAATTTTACATAAGATAGGAGCTGTTCTGACACAAATTCCACACACAATTTTTTCAGCCAGTAAGGAAACTGTACCAGAACTTACGAGCTTCAGATTAAAACTCTTCAATGAGTTGTGAAAAGAAAAAAGGAGGGAAAAACAAAAAGATAACACATCTTAAAAACTGAAAATACATTCTGTGTAATCTGTATATAGATGGCAGAATAAAGGAATACTTACATCATATTAAATGTACGTTCATGGTGCAATGACACTTAATATATGAATGCAACTGCAATTTTAAATTCAAACTCACTTGTCTCGTGAGTAATACGTTTCTGAACTTCTTTTACATTCACATGGACTTAAACTACTCACTTCTCTAAATATGAAGATAAAACACTTTGGATGAACACCAGAAAGGACCATCACCTAGCTAACACTGTGATACCAGTCCTACAGACGATCCCCACCAACTTAATAACACTCAAATTCTAAATGTGCGTTTTGTGTAGTATTTTGACAGATCACTTCGTCAACAGGCCAAATATTACAGAAAGAGGACACTTAAAGGGTTCCCTCTGCCACGACACTACTGCTGGTGAAATGAGAAAAGCAAAAATATAAGAATGAATAAATGAAAAAAAAGAAAAGAAATGCAGACTATTAGCTGAAAGAACAGGCAGAGAACATTACTACATCACATTCCAGCTGTTTGGCTAAGATGAGGGAGAATATGGTGCTTCAACCAAGTACAGATGAGGTGGAAACACTCACTCTACATAACCCTCTATATAAGAAAAGAAACCACTTTATTTAGTTACAAACCTTGTACACCCATATATTAGACGTTTAAACTCTAAGACACTCCAGATATTTGGATCCTGAACTGATAAAGCCACTATAAGCCGCACTGACGTGAAACACCAGGTGTACAGTAATGTCGGGTATTTACATCAAAAATACAAAAAGACCAACGCAGCCTACAGCACGAAATATCAGGCAGGAGAAACAAGTAATTTGATCCTGTAAACGTACCAAACCGGTTCCCAGTATCGCAGCATGATAAACTAGTATAAACCCTGACACCACATCAACTTCAGGACATGAAACCTTAACCTGTATTGTTTCTGACCGAGTCGAGTCGCATTCAGCTAAATGCTAATCTCTTCATCTTCGTGCGCGTTGACCTGCCCAAAGCCACGCCTCCAGGACAACGCCTTACGGTGTATGCCACAGAGTTACATACCTAGATGCCACGTTGTCAGTTGTTCTCTATCTGTGGCGATACGTCTGCGCGTACGCCATGTTGGAGCGGTCAAAATCCGCTTGTGAAGAAATTCACTTGTACTGAGAGATTAAATCTGCCACAACCTTCTTATTACTATTTGTTTTGTTATAATGTTCAGACATAGATTAATCTGGGTTGCACGGACTGCTTTCGGTAGCTTTTATTTCTTTAATAACTTATCATGATTGGCCGTCCACCCAGAAGGATAAGCAGTGTAGATGGTGTGTGTGTGTGTGTGTGCCGTCCGGACCAGCAGAGAAGTATTCAGTCTGAATCTGACGTTAAAACCGAGTTTAGCGCGAGCTTCGGTAGAAACTTTAAATCACACATCAGCAAATACATCAATGTGTGAATCACTTCTAATCTTAATAAACATAAAAATAAAATAAACCCCCGAAACACAGTAAGAAGGACGAAACTAAAGTTGACCTCCTATATAACAACTACAATAAGTTAAGATCCCCTAAATGACATAAGCTTAATATAACACCGGAGGAAAACGATCACATGACCAGGTGCTGTGCCTCACCAACCACTCGGCCATATATCTACACATATACATCACACAAACAATTCGCATCACACAAACATGTGGATCGCTGCGTTCCTTCCGTTATATAATCCTATCTATCTTTATCCTACCTATAATCCCACTTTCTGAGTGCAATATTCTTGAAATAGTATAATTCTGGACAGTAACTTTTTTAAACTGCCGCTCTGTAATGGTACTGAATGCTGTCCCGCAGCGGTGTTAACCGCCCCAAAATGGCGGCGCCGTTGACGTGACTGGCTGGACCCAACACGGCATCTAGGTATTTATATCTATGGCCAGAGCATATATACAAAATCTCTGGCGGCAGTTCTCCTCTCCACAGGTTCTGTGTATGTGCTCGCTATCGGGGTCGATCCGCTAGCATTACATTATAGAGTCACATCAGTGGCAGCAAAAACGCTGACATACATTAAAAAATAGGATTCGTGACTGGACGAAAATCTGAGCAGGAATAAAAAGCACCACCAGCTCTTTTCCCTCCAGTGCTGCACCAGACCGCCCCATAAGCCATATTCTTACAGCTCGCTTAAATAAGCCCCGCTTCCACAACAACAGCTACAGAGTCTCACATTATTAGCCTGTTATTTCACACAGTCCCAGGCCCTACGACGGCGTTTTAGGGCCGCTGTTAATAACAATAAAATAGTAGACTTCGAGAATAAAGTCGTAATATTTCGAGAAAAAAATCGCAATATTTCTAGAAAAAAGTCGTAATATTTCGAGGATAAACTGGGATAACTGTAGGGGGGCTGCCATAAGGCGCCGGGGTCTCGGTTGCTGTACTGACGCGCTGTTCTTTGTCTCTTTGTGGATCGACCATTTTGATTATCGTTCTCATTGTCTGTGAAACTTCATGCCCTCTTCGAATGGCACGGAGATGTAGCCACCGATAGCCGTGTAGACGACCCTGCCTGCGATTCTCCTTCAACAAAACAGACAGACAGTTTCCCCCGAGACTGGTTCTTTATTCTGAATAAACTGTTTCCTGCTCAGCTGTTTCTTACACTGATAACAGGCTGGTGCTGATGTGCAGGAGAGACAGGGAGACTGAGTATTTCTTTATGGGTGAAATCGACATAAGAGTGTACCTCCACCTCCTCACCGCCCTCATTTTAACTCAAGGCGGTGCTGCCTTCCCTTTGCAAAGCCTTTGGCCACAATATTGCGACCTTTCCTGGTATTAACGCCACTTTGTCGTAATTCTACGACGTTATTCTCGAAATACCGTACGACATTTTTTCCCTCGAAATATTACGACTTTTTTCTAGAAGAACTACGACTTTTTCTCGACATATTATGACGTTATTCTTGAAATACCGTACGACTTTTTTTCTCGAAATATTACGACTTGTATCTCGAAATATTACGACTTTTATCTCGAAATATCACAACTTCTCGAAATATTACGACTTTTCTTCTCGTAGCACTACGACTTTTTCTCGACTTTGACTTATCTATCGTACGCTTTTTTTCGACATTACGACTTATCTTGAAATACCGTACGACTTTTTTTCTCGAAATATTACGACTTGTATCTCGAAATATTACGACTTTTATCTCGAAATATTACGACTTTTCTTCTCGTAGCACTACGATTTCTTTCGAAATATTACGACGTTATTCTTGAAATACCGTACGACTTTTTTTCTCGAAACATTACGACTTTTTTTCCTCGAAATATTACTTTTCTTCTCGAAATGTTGTGACTTTTATCTCGAAATATTACGACTTTACTCCCGAAGTCTACTTTTTATTAACGGTGTCCCTAAAACGCCGTCGTACCCGGGCAGATCACGAAACCCTGGAACCCTTTGTTTGAACGCAGGCGCATCCACCTATCCCCCACTACTGCGTCACGACCGAAAGTGAAAGTATTCCTGCTTTCTTAAATCGGGATCTGGGAATTCTGGGAATAACCACGACAGATCTGTGCGAGATTTGGGGTTATACTTTATAGAACCGTGTCTGAGACCTACATAAGAAACTTAGGATCAAGACTGGAGAGGCTGCGGTCACTGATCTGAGCACAAATCACGGGTAAATGGGATTAATGGACGGTATGCACGCACTTTCCAGTGTTGTACGGTTAAAGCAGATCTGTAGAAGGCCTCAGTAGTCAGCTAGATCTTACTTACAGGGCGATCGCCTTTACTGCATTAATGTTTTAATGGGTCAGTATTCACTGTGTGGCTCCTTTTGGTTTTGCAGAAATGCTGATGTTTTTGATCATCGTGTTGCTCTGGCCTCAGCTCACTCAGGGCTCAGGTAAGAGAGAATTTCTGCTAGCCCACGAATGGGCCTCCATTTTTGTGTCCCTCTGATATTACATTTGTGTTAAGTAAAGGTAAACATGGGTGAAGTGAAGCTGATGAAATAGACAAGGAGTGTAGATATAAGCAGATATAAGCAGGTATATTTAATAAAGTGGACAGTCAGTGTACAAATATCTATATATGTATGTGTGTGTGTGTGTGTGTGTGTGTGTGTGTGGTTGGGTGGGTGGAGTGGCTGGGGAAAGCAGATTTTTTTGTTTGGGAAAATGTAAAGTTAGACTTTTGGGGTAAGAACACCCCCTACTCTCCTAATCACGGGGCAAAAGACGCCAGTCTGATCTGAACAAGGATCATTTACACTAAATAATTCAGTGTTGTTGCTTTATTGAAGTCACTATTGTTGTTATTTGACTGTAATAATTTGTTTTGTTGTCATAGTTTATTACAATGAAGTGGAGACATTTAGACATGTACATTGGTATACATCTCAATTTCATTTTAAAATATAATATTTTAGTGTTATTTGTAATCTGTAGAACATCTGTAGAATGTAGATGACAGACTGATGGGAGATTCACCAGGTGTGCTTCTTTAAAGATGTTCTTTTTTGGGCTACAGAAACAGAGCTGTCTGCTGTTTCAGTTTATGACCTCTTACTGTGTACAGGTTTATTCATCATCACTTAGCTTTACAGCATTACAGGGCTTTTTCTCCTATAATGAACTGGTTCTTTCTCCTTCTACATCCTTTTCTCTCTTTATCTCTTTTTCAGATTCTCTCCCTGTAAAAGTTGCTAACACTGCGGTCATAGGGAGGCTTGGTTCCTCTGTGGTTCTTCCCTGTTGGCTCAATCCTTCATTGGACGTTAGAACCATGGAAATTCGTTGGTACCGTCCACACAAGTTCAACATCCCTGTCTTGTTCTACCGTGAGCAGAAGATCATGACGGACCCCCAGGAGGAGAGCTACAGGAACCGGAGCTCTCTGGCCCTGCGTGAACCTCAGTCGGATGGGCTGAAAGGAGGAGACTTGTCCCTGAGGCTGGATAACCTGAACATAGATGATGAAGGGACTTTTCACTGCTACGTGAGTGGGGACAAAGGATATGGCTCTGCTGATGTGACTCTCAGTATAACTGGTGAGTAGAAATGAACCTCAGTGTCTCTGTCCTGCATCGTGACTGAAAATGGTTATTAAATGGTATAACTCGAAATGCTATTTTATCATTTGCTTGTTCACATAATGTTAATCTCTCTCTCTCTCTCTGTCTCTTTCTCTGTCTCTCAGCTCAAGGCTCTTCTCCTGTCCTTTTGGTGCAGCCCAAGGATGACTTGATGAATGTTAGCTGTAGCTCCTGCGGGTGGCACCCACAACCCCGTGTTGAGTGGAAGTCTAACAGGACTACTTCCTTTCGTCCTGTAGCTCTCGTCTACAGTCAAGGGGAAAATAAACTGACCTGTGTCCAGAGCTGGGCCCTCCTCTCCCCTTCTGACTTTCACCAGGTCTCTTGCTCTCTCTTTATTTCTGAAGGAGATGAGAGGGAAAGCACTGTGGCCATTCAGACCATTTCTCGCTTAATGGGTAAGCAGTTATTCTCGGAAAAATGTAATTAATTCAACATGTTCTGTATTTTTAGTGCTTAATGATGTAGTTCAAGTCTAAGAGAAGACCCCAATGGAAACTGGTGTTGATCTATTTTCATGTCAGGTTCACTTTCTTACAAATCACTTTTTCACCAAAGCTCATTGTAAGGGTAGTAACAAAAGCCTTTCTCTTGATAATGAAATTATCTGCACATTTTACATTTAGATGCAGTTTACCTGTTCAAGCCTTTATACATCATCAGTAAATGAATTTAAACGTGTGTAACTGACGGCATCTTGCACACCAAACGTGACTTTTCAAACAGCAAACATTATTTTATTCAACCTCTGTTTCAACATGCCAGTGTGAACACACTGAAGATGACTGATCTGCAACTAGAGCTTTCAATAAATGTCAAAAGGATTAGTATGTCTTCTGCTTTGTCACAGTTGGTGTTTGTAAGCAGCAGAAACACGGCTCCAAACTGTGTTAAAGCATAAGTACCAACTACCCGTTATCCTTTCGCTTTTCAACAATAGAAAGAAGGCTGTCCAGTGTCACGCTTTCCCCATTTTGTGAGTAGTGCTCAACCAATATAGGATTGTTAAAGCCAAACTGGTTTATTTGCAACTACCTCCTGTTGGTCAATAATAGTGGCACGCTGATTTATCAGTCTGTCTCTATTTGTGAGGATATCTTTTCCAACTGGAGACATTTTGCCCATTTGTTTATGCTGAAAAAGTAGTTTAGCAATTCTCCAGACTGAAAAAAGGAAAAGGTCAGTAATAAGTAATGTAGTCCTTGGAATTCCCACTTGGTGTGACATTGAAATGGTGTGGCTGTCACTCGCACCAACAAAGCATTAATTCCTTTATTATAGATTCGGAATAAGACTGTTTGTTTCATGGAAAATGAATTTAGCATTTAGTGCTTTCTTGTACCTCATCCTAGGTCGTCTTTACTTGCCTTGTGCTTTATCGTATCAAGCACTGCCTCTCAAAACTACTACTCGTATCAGCAGGCTGTGCTGTAGTCATGACACAATGTAGTCAACTGCATCCTGCACCCTCCCCGTCCTCACTTCTAGCCTTGGAGAGTCTAATGTCAGTTAAGTCTTTTGTATTGTGGGACTTCACTTACATGGGTGTCCATAAGACAGACTGCTGAAGGAAAGCCGTAGCTTTTAGCTTCCGAACATAAAATAGACAAAAGATCTTGGTTTTTTGAAGACAGTAGGATGTTTGTGTAGTGTGATTATTAACAATTTTAAATGCTGTATTATGTATTGTAGTGTATGATCTGTGTTTTGTAGTGTTTACTCTTTAGGTGTCAGTAGTATATAGCAAAAGCATAGTGTAATATGTCTTTAAACAGAACATGGAATCATTTTAGGATTTGTTTATTGATAGTCTTATGATTGTATTATAGATGAAATTGCTACTAGTTTTGGTTAGTTAACGGAATGCTCAAATTTACATGTACTCCTACCAGATGTGAGTTTATTTGTTAGATGTGCCAAAGATGCAACTGACAAAGAACAAACTGTTGGTGAAACCTTGGTGCACTCATTTTACAGTCAGATTTGATGATACACAACTTTGAGTCCTAATCTTCACTTATGAATTGCCTGGTTAACCTAAGTCGTGCAGCTGGGTTCTCTTTTGAGACTCTGGTATGTATGGCAAATTTTCGTAATGTTGGGGTCTCGGAGACGTCCTACATAATATTTCAGTCAACACTCGAGCTGAATTTGATGGCCTGCATTGGAAAGACTGCCAACGATTTGAAGTTTTCTCCTTTTGCAAGCTATCTTTCGAACAGCAGAGTGATTGCTTATTAAATGGCTTTAAAACCCTTTTAAGACCTACAGACTTCAGCGGTCTTTATTGTCATGGCTTCAGAGAGCTCATTTGATCTTGGGATGATGTGGCCACACACTTTAGTTGCTAAAATCGAGCTATATCACAGCTTTCTAATGCTAACATAAGGCAATGACCTCCCTCAGGTTGCTCTAATTTTCTAATTATTTGCACCTGTTTTGGTGCACATTGTTCTAATTTTAGGCATTTGGTGCAATAAATGTTCATTTTAAATAATAACTCACTCACAGAGTATGACATATTAAAATGTACTGATATAAGTGTACTCACACTCAAATTATGGCTCACTGAGCAAACAAATCTTGAATGAATGCGATTTCTGTTAAGAGGCAGAGGACGCTGTTTTGACGAAATTTGGGTTCCCTTCATCTGATATTTTAAGACTGATATCTTAAGGTGGAAGTGGTGAAAGAGCCCCTCCTTTTCACTTTGTTCAAAGTGTGGCATGTTCTAGTGCAAACAAAATCTGGGGACAGTAACATTCATGTCAATATTCCTGTGTACTATAATTCCCCTATGAAACTTTTTTCCAATAAAAAGTTTAAACAATTAGTGTGTTTAAAGCACTAGTTGGTGTACTAAATAAATGACAGTAATATTATCTTATAAAAGTGTTTTTAACACTGTTAAAATCTATTCCATCTGCCAGATTCTGCGGAAGATGGTGCTGCATCCTGGAAGGCCCTGTTTGCTGTGGCACTGTTAGTGGCATTGGCCATGATTGGCGTCAGTGTCTTCCTCTACAGAAAATATAAATCAGGTAAGATGTAATTTCAAAGGTTGTTTCAAAATTTGAACATTTAAAATTTATGCACCACATGGTGTAATTTTGTTCTATTTTTGAGATCGTTTATGTTAGTGTTTCTGTGTTGCAGGATACATGCGGGCTAAAGCAGGTAGGGGGCGACATCACCTGGACTTCTTTGGTTTGTGCTCAGCTTTTCAACCCCTGTGGAATTATTAACTAAACTTTTAATTTGCTTTATACTTTCAGATGAAGAGCAACTTACAGGTTTGATGTACTTTATTTATTACTGGTCCTTGGTACAGTTTAAGTTATTTAAACCAAGAAATAAAACTTAACTGAAGTTATTCAGAAAATGTGTCAAATGTGTATATGAAGGCCACTCTAATTTAGTCATTTACATCATTTAATTGATTTTTAGTTTGCAGTAACCCAAACATGGAGGACTTGAGAAAACATGCAGGTATGATTTTGTGTTTCCTTAATGTTTTTAGTAAATGTTGTTATAAATCTTTAGCAGGGAATTCCACCCATTTTTCAATATGTCTGCATAATTCAGTGGTTGAGATGTAAACAGTCATTCAGAGTGGTTTGGTGTGAAGTGGTTCATTGTAGAGACTCAGATGTCTTTACAATGGTGGTGATGGGAACCAGGGATCACAATGTCTACAACTCAAATGTAGCCATTTTATTTACTATCCAAAACCACCAGTGGACCTACATGTGTCTTCTGAGGTTTTATATGTAATGTTGATGATGGTAAAATAGTGAAAACCTGAAAATAATAAGTGCTTTGTGGACGTCTCCACCATGAATATATTGTAGAAAAATGTTTAATGCCAAAACCTTCTCAAAACTATCATGAAGCAATGTATCAGACATCAGACAGTGTATTCCTAACTATTTCATGTAATAACTTTCTGTAAGGGAACTTTTAGTGGTGGACGTCTGGTTCCTATCACCACCACAGTGAACAATTCTGACTTGCTAAGTTTCTTTAGAATGGAGTATCACAATATGGCTTTGTATCTTAACTGTTTAATTGTGCAAAAATGTTGAGAAAATGGTGGAGTTTCCCTTTAATTATTAAATTGTTTTTAATATTTTCATTATTTTCATCCCTACAGTGAGCATCACTTTAGATTCTACAAACATCTGCCCAGATCTAGTCATTATTCCTAATCGCAACATGGTAAGAGATCGTGCCAGTGCTGCAGACAACCACAAAGGACCTGGTTTTCCATACTATTTATCTGTATGTGGAATCAAGGGACTCAGCTCAGGTTGTGCATATTGGGAGGTGAAATTGACAGCAGCTCAAATAAAGCCCAAACAGTCGTGGCTCATTGGAGTTACTAAAGCTGCACATTACTTAAGTAATGATAAGAGTGATCTTACCCCTTCAAAAGGTTTTTGGTTTCTTTGCTCAGATGAACAAACTGGTCTCCATATCAATACAGAACCTGAAATTTCACTCCCAGTAAATTCAAGGCTTGAGGTTGTTGGAGTTTTACTACACTATGAGAAAGGCGAGCTTTCATTTTACAACGCTAAAGAGGGTGTACATCTCTTCACTATGAAAACCAAATTCCAGGGAGAGATTGTGCCTCTCTTTAACCCAGGAATAGGAGATGAAGCTCCACTTACTATCATTAACCTCCCTGAATCCAGCACACAGAGGAATGGGGCCAGTGAATCTGCAGAGAGTGCTAGTCCTCAAGCTAACGTCGCATAGGCCAAAATTAAATTTTGGGTATCCCTGTGAAAAAGAGGGTAGGCCACCAAGGTAGGTTTCAAACACATATTCCCACAATGTCATAACATCTACCTACAGCCTATTACTGACAGCACTGTAATCGTCTGGCCCAATCCATATGGTGCTACAAACAATAGCAAGACTGTGTACACATCAACAAGACTACATTTACATAAACCCAACACTGCAGCACCCTTCACTGGAAAGTTCGTGTCTGCTCACCACATGCATTTTTGCTCAGTGAAGATAACCGAGTACACATAAGATGACTAAGCAAGGAAACATATAACTCTGTTAACATTCAGTATTCAACTCTTGACAACTCAACTCTTCACAACCTCTCAAAATGATCTAGCAATGAAGCAATGCATTTGTGAATAGATTTTGGTGTACTGGATACCGTCAAACTTGCGTCTGGAGTGCCTGTAAATTTGGGTATAATAGTTTTATCAACCTGATAAAAATGCTTGATTTGTAGTTAACTAAACAAAACTATTACGAATATCATCTATAAGGATGAATAAAAATAGAAAATTAAAAATATACTATTTATTTGTGCACATGCCAGTCCAGTACAACATTGGAAGTACTTATTTAACAAGCACATTAATATAAACCAGGGGTCACCAACCCTGGTCTTCGAGATCTACCTTTCTGCGGAGTCTGGTTCCAACTCTAATCCATCACACCAGCTCCAGCTAATTAACCCGTTCAAAAGTCCTCAGTTGAACCAATGTGGATTACCATGGTCTTAAACCAGTACCAGACACTTACATATCTTGATCTAGATGTCATAAATGAAGCCCACACCTTGACTGTGAAAGAATATGTGAAACACTATGGCGAGGCTATATGTAAATAAGGTTGTGCATTAGTTTGTTTTGAGCCTCTAAGCCCCAATGTCATGCTTTAGAAACCAATGACATGCTTGTTTGTTGTTGGTTTTGTATCAGAATACTAACCAGTTGTTTTTATGTTTTTATATTTCTGTATTTCATCAACTAATTTTAGCATATTATCCAGAGCTCATTTGAGGTTAGCTATAAAGATTCAGACTCCAGGACAGTAAATTTACACGTTTAAGCCTCCCCTGCGGAAAATAGACCACTTTGCTCTTTTTAGCTGGTTTCTGAATGGTGAGTAAAAAGTGCAAGACGGAGAACAAACTGTCTAAATGTCATTTTAGAGCTCTAATTACATTTTGCAGCTAAGTAAATGTTGGAGACCTTATAAAGGGTAGATCACGGACATATTGTGTCTGATATTTGAACGCTCGGCACTAACATTATAGCAAACTGCTGGACTGTAGCTAATGTGACACTAAGCTAACATAAGCTAACATTAAATTTTGCATTAAAGTTTGCTTGAATTAAACTGAGATTTTCATGGAAATTGTGGAGTGGAATGACCCACTTGGTAAAGTGTTTCTCTCAGCATGTAAATGTGATTTTTGTTGAAAACTGAATTCATTCTTTTCTCTATTGCTGATATGTGTTTAATTATAATCCAGTTTTTGTATCAGGTTTTCATATTGAGTGGTTTGTAATCTGTAATCAGTAATTACACTACATTTATACTAAGCTATAACGCATTACTTTATATAGCTTTATATATCTGAACAGTCAGATTTAAGGTTTATTTCACTACAATTAGTTCAACAATTTAAAAACACTGTGTGATGAATTTTGTAAACATTTTGCTGCAGTTGTAATTTTTTTGTATATGCACTCATATTTGTGAACTTTGCTTACATTAGAATCTCTGACAGAATAAACTCACATTTGTTGAATATAGTGTGAAAAATAAAGTGTGAAATGTAGCCTTTGAATAAATACACTACACCAATAAATAATTGTGGAATAAACTGTTGAAGTGCTAAATGATCATTCATTGTGTCGTGATAGTATTTCTTCCAACACTACACATTCATGCAAATTATAAAACGAATGAATGTGTACAACTTCTTGTACTTCTTTGATTTGACTGCAGAGCAAAAGAGATTGAGATAGATGTTGAGATGTCATTCAGAGTGGTTTGGTGGGAAATGGTTCACTGTAGAGACTCAGATGTCTTTACAGTGGTGGTGATAGGAACCAGGGGTCACAATGTTTACAACACAAATATAGCCATTTTATTTACTATCCAAAACCACCAGTGAACCTACATGCGATGATGGTAAAATAGCGAAAAGATTTGATAAAACAAGTTTTCTTTGGGGACTATTTTGCCTCACTGCACTCATGTACACCGCCTCCATGAAGGAATTCATAAAAAATACATTTAAACCAAAAGCTTCTCAAAACTATCAGAAAACAGTGTCTTTTAGAGGAATTGAGCTCATCAGGTTCCTATCACCACCACTGTGAACAGCTCTGACTCACATCAAACCACTCTGAGTGACTTTGCTTATGTCTTAAGCACAAACTTCGAAAAATCTGTGGAATTTTCTCTTTGAAACGATTAGTTATGTAAGGGCTCCCCCTATTGGCATAAAACACATTTCCAGGCCACAAGTGCAGTTGCCAGGTCAAATACAATATCACCATATTCTGGTGATTTATGTAACAATGGGAAATAAAGGGTGTGACACAAACTAAAAATGCAAATAAAAGTGTGTTATTTCTTGCAGTGTGACATACATTAATCTCTGTGTTTCTCTAAACAGCTTTCTTCTAAAATCAGATAGATCTTTACAATGCCATTTAAGAAAACAAAACAAAATGTAGCACTTTTATATAAGTAGGTATTTACAGAATGTACAACTTCACACAATGGAAAGACACGATACCCACTTCTGCTAGCATGAGCTCACTGGTTTCTGCTATAGGATATCAATAAACACGCAGGAAGGCTGCAAAACAGACAAACATCCAACATGAAACAAAACTCAGGTTCAAATGTGCATGAACTTGAAGCTGAGAAGGGCTTTACAAAAATTAAAAAAACAGACTGGAGGCCAGTGGCTTTAGCTTATCTAAAATACTGTGAATGTTTATAAAACAGTTTGTAACTGGTTAGGGAGCTTGTGGTAAGCCAATCACAAGCCAAGTTGAATAGAAGTAAGTAGGAATGAAGTGAAATTCATAAATGAAAGGCTGGTCTCAGTATAAAAAGAATCAACACTGGGATAAGAAAAGGCTTAATCTAGGTACTTTACAAAAGGCCCCCCCCCAAAAAAAGGTCCTTGGCTAGGGTAATTTAACATTTTCCACTGAATGTTTACTGTTCTTTGCAGCAAATAAACAATCAAGACAGTCAATCAAGTGTGAATACAAAGGACGACATATAGCTTAGTTTCAGATATAAAACTTAAGTGGAGACTCCACTGAATTTTCAAACTTTCTGCCTAATTCAGTGGTTGAGATGTAAACAGTCATTCAGAGTACTTTGGTGTAAAATGGTTAATTGTAGAGACTTAGATGTCTTTACAGTGGTGGTGATAGGAACCAGGAGTCACAATGTCTACAACACAAATACAGCCATTTTATTTACTATCCAAAACCACCAGTGAACCTACATGTGTTCTGAGTTTTAGACGTAACGTTGATGATGGTATATAGTGGTCGATAGCTTTACAACGCCTTTGATGTGCATCTCCACCATGATTTAAACATCAAAACCTTCTCAAACTATCGTAAAACATTGTCTCAGACATTACACAGCGTATTCATAACCATTTCATGTAATAACTTCCTGAGGGGGCTTTTATAGGTGGATGTCTGGTTCCTATCACCACCACTGTGAACAATTCAGACTCCTGAAAAGTTTTGAATTTTGAGCGCAGAATTATAAGAATCGAAGAACAGTACATTTCAAACAAATGTCAGTGTCTGAATGCAGTTTGAGTCAGCTGACTGTGTGACTCTGATTGCTTTTAAAGGCAGATGTCTGGTTCCTATCACCACCACTGTGAACAATTCTGAGTTTCAGAGCATTTTACATCAAACTCTGAATGACTTTGTTTTGATCTTAACCATTTAATTATGCAAAGATTTTGAAATTCCCCTTTAAAACTTTTACCTCCCTTAATGGGTTTAATACTGTAGGTCTCAGTCTCAGTCCTGAGGACGCCATGGATTGTTCTTGTGTTTCTAATGCTTTAAAACAACCGACTCGGCTCATGAAATACCAAATGAGCTAAAACAGGTACAGCACCAGTCAAAGGTTTGCAGTTCTCATACACTTACACATTCAGATCTAAAGGCTTATGCATAAATGCTTTGAAATGTCTCTTTGTGAATTTATTTCCAAGTGTAATTTTGAATGTAAAACATATAGTACCAAACAAAAGGTTCTGTTTGCTATCAGTAGCAGAACCCTTTTTGCCGTTTTAATAAGGTTCTTTAAAGAACCGTATAGAACAGATTTGCCATCATACTGAAAACCTTAACAGTTCTTTACTGAAGAATCACAATCTTTACTGAAGAACCCCTTTTAAAGGATGTAAGTCTAACTAAAAAAAAATCTTAGATGGTGATTCTCCACTTGCGCTGCCATTTAGTCGAAGACTGGGCTTCATCAATATCTGGGAAACCCTACATGTCCTACATGAAGGTTACTTAAACTTCTTTAGGGAACCAATTGTGGTTCTTCACTGGCATTGATCAAATAACCCGTTTATGGCCCCTTATTTTTAAGGCTGCATTTTGTATCTGAACCAGTGTGGTATGTACACATGTGCATCTCAGGGGTTCTCCATCTGAGTTGTGGGGAGTTAACACATTTCTCTGCTTTTCCCTGATGTAGCACACCTGATCACATCGTTAACTAATTAATAAGCTCCTGGTGCGCTCGGGTCTGGTGTGGTAGAGCTGGGAAAACAAAAATGGGCTTTGAGACTTCGAGAATCTCTGGTGCAGAACTTAAAATAGAAGATGGTTTGGATTTAACACTACACAGGATTGTTTTTTCATAGTTTGATATCTTCACTGTTATTCTAAAAAATTAAACATGTTAAAAATAATAAAATAAATAAATTAAAAAAAAAAGCCTTCTATCAGTAAGTGTGTCCAAACATTTGACTGGAACTGTACCGGAGCATAAAAAGCTTGTCTTGCGTGATGTGATCTCCTAATGAGGAAGTCTGAGGGACAACCATGAGAAATTTTGGGTTAAATGTGGACTTATTAGGACCTAAATTAACTTTGTAAACCAATCCAACAACTAGTGAACAACTCTAGACATTAGAGGAGTCTGAGGGCAGGATTTAGAGGGGCGTACCAGAGACGATCTAGTGAGGGGAATTGCCACTCAATACTGGCTTCCAGATTTGTCAGACACTAGGGAACGCTCCCGAGAGAGTCCAAATGAATGGGTTCCTATGAAGCTTTCGTGCATAATTGTAATTTATAAAAGCTTATGTAAATTCATGATGTCAGCCAATCAGCTCTCAGTAGCAGTAAAGTTTCCTACTGTCCAAAACCTAGTTACGGTAGAAAGACGGAAAGATACAGGTACGTTTTTTTAACAAGACTACATCTTTATATTTTGCAAAATTAACAGAACGTCTTGCATAAATGTGTAAAAACGTTTAATTGTTTTGTGTTTAGCCGTTTAGCTTTATTCACTCCTATTCTTTTAGGATTCAGGTGCCCTCTAGTGTTTTGCATTCAATGTTTGATCTAATGGGGGAAACAATATGCTGACAGGCTCCTCTTAAACAGCCTCTGGCACAAACCTATGTTAGTTATGTAATCCAGCACCAAAAGTTTAACAAGCTATCCCCAGATGAGATCACATCTGAGACTAAGAAAAAGCAACACTGATTGCATACGTTCACCAGGAAATAAGACTGAAAACCACCAGCTGTAGAAACGTTTAACAAGCCAACACAGCAAAACGTGCTTAATTAACTTCCCAGCAGAACTCAGGGATGATGTGGTCCCACAAAACAAAACACTAATTTATACACCACCCCTCCCCACCCCCACCACCACTGATGAGCATAAAAATCTCAGGTCTTTATATATAAATTTATCACAATCAGTCCAACAGCAAGACTCCACTGGACAAATAATGTTGTTAGCATAGAAAAGGAAAAACAAACGTTCATAGAGAAATAGGTGGGTCATCTGAATCAAATCTGCATTGTTTGCTTCGGTTCGTCGAGCTGCATTGTTGGGTTTGGGGAAATCTCCCTCATCCACCCATCTCACACACACTCACACACACACTCACAAAAACTCACTCCAGTCTGCTTGAATATCAGTGATCAGAAATTAGAGGTATTCAGTTTAGAGGGCTGTGTGAAGTTGTCCGTAAAAGGGGAATTTCAGCAATTTTCGAAACTTCTGTATAATTAAATAGTTGAGATGTAATGACTGACAGCTCACTCAGAGTGGTTTAGTGTGAAATGCTTCATTCTAGAGAAACTTGCTGTGTCAAAATTTTTTACAGTGGTGGTGACAGGAACCAGACGTCTGAAAGGTTTAATATAGAAGGCCATTTTCGCCAGAAGAAAAAAAACAATCGTGTTTCGATTCTGTCAATATTTTCACTTCTCGAAATAATGACTTATTTTCCTAAAAAAATGACTTTTTTGAATAAGACATTACTTTGACACAGTAAGTCATTATTTCAAAATACTGAGCCACAATTTCAAGAAAATAAGTTGTTTTGACAAAGTAATTATTTTGAGGTGCTTTGTCAACATTTTGAGAAAATTAATTATTTCAAAATACTAATACATGAAAATTTCTCAAAAATTTCAGAAACAGTGAGGGAGGTGGGGGAAAACCTTATTTCTCTTGTAGCTGAAGGTATTTGGCTTTTACAGTTAAATACCTCTAAAACATCTCTCATTGAAATGTATTACATGAAATGTTTATGAATACGCTGCCTGATGGCATTAAATGTTTTTTTTTTAAATCCTCTCATGGTGAAGAGGTGCAGGGCATTTCACTGTGAGGCAAAACAGTCCCCAGAGAAAACTTATTTTATCAGATTATTCACTATTTTACAATCACCAATATTACATATAAACTCAAAAAACCTGTGTATGTTCACTGGTGGTTTTGGATAGTAAATAAAATGTCTATATTTGTGTTGTAGACCTCACGACCCCTGGTTCCTTTCAAGACAATGGTAAAGAAATATGAGTCTCTAGAATGAACCATTTCACATTAAACCGCTCTGAACAACTTTGTTTACATCTCAACCACTGAATTAGATAGAAATATTGTAAACACTGGTGCAATTCCCCTTCAACATGAACATTCTGTATAGAAGCATGTGTGTGTCTGTCTGTAGTTATCCGATGATCCTTACGCACTGTGTCTGTATTTGTGTGGGTGTAGTTAACGGATACACTGATAAACGGCTACCCTCAATGTACATGGATGCATAAGTGAGTGTGCAGTCTGTCACTTATTCGATCCAACATTCTAATAGTGAGAGTCTCCGTGTATGTATGTGTAAAGAGTCCTTCCCGCTGTAGTTAACAGACGGCTGCTCCGTTGCTCTCCCTCCGTCCCTGTTTCTTGAGTAGCTGAATGCGGTTGTGGCAGTAGAACTTAATGGCCCTCCAGTCACGCTGGTTGGTGACCAGCAGGGGGCAGTGCTGCAGGCATCGCTCACAGTCTGCCTTTGCAGGCACACGCAGCTCCACGATGTTGCGCTTCAGGTGCGTCTCCACGGCGACGCGTTCGGCTTCGGACCACGGCCGCTTTAACACCCCACGTTTGCCTGAAAGATGTCGGGTGTTAGTTAAAGGAGAGTATTGTGCAAAACATCTGCCTAGTGAAACTGTTCAGATGTAAACAAACTAAAACGGAGTGGTTTGATGTGAAATACTTCATTGTAGAGACACTTACTAACCAGATGTCCACCTCTAAAAGCTCCCTTACAGAAAGCTATTACATGCAACAGTTATGAATAAACAGCCTGATGCTTGAGAGTTTTAGTGTTCGCTCAAAGAATAGCCACCAAAAAAACTGTAGACATTGTTTCTTGTTTCATTGGACATTGGTTCTTATCACCACCACTGTAAAGAAATCTGAGTCTCTACAATGAACCATTTCACACCAAACCACTCTGAATGACTTTGTTTACATTTTAACCACTCAATCATGCAGAAATTTAGAAACAGTAAAAATTTCTCTTTAAAATTATAGTTTTCCTCCTTACCCTAAATATAGTTGAACAGCCAAGATGTGTTTGGGGTGTGAAGTTTGCTTCTTTATTTACAGCTCTGAAGCTGGTAATGTCGCTAAAATGGACAAAACAGCAACAGCTGTCTGGAATCCTGAATTTTGTGGCATACTTTAGTCCATGTTTATGGGTAACAGTAGGGGTGGGAATCTCTAGGCACCTCACGATTCGATTACGATTCAGAGGGCTGCGATGCGATTATAAAACGATTATCGATGCATCTTGATGCATCTTTTTTTTCTATACTGAATTTCTTTTTTCTCACTGTGTCAGGACTTAGTACTTTTAAAGCAAAGTATTTGTAATGATCCATAACGAATTTACTTCCAATATCTTTTATTAATAAAACAAATGGAAGTGATGTGGCAAGAGAACTAGAAGGCTCTCATTCACTGCTCTTGTTTGGAGCACATGAGACGCTGCTGCTACTCATCTGCGATAAAATGCGCAGTTACAGTGAAGTAAGATCCAGTGGCAATGGGTGTCCACGCAGCACGTTACAGCTGTCCTAACCATTGTCTTTAGTGATTTTATAATTTCGGTTTTGGTCTCGTTGTAGAGAGTGTGGGGGATCGCTGTGTCAGTAAAATATCTTCGAGACGAGGCGTATGCAATATAGCGCGAAAGCCCTGGTTCTCAACGACTGAGAACTGGCATGCAGACTGCAGGTCACAGAGCAACAAAGTCTCGCCTGGCTAGTAGCTAACGAAAAGGCAAAGAGAAAGATTTAAGATGAACATTTGGAGACGAAATTGACTTATTTGCATTTATAAGCAGCACAGTTGGTTTCCTGGAACGTTAAACCTGCAGTGAGAGACTGTCAAACACTAAAATGTTGCGAAGATGAAGTCAGCTTCTCTTTCGAATTTTCCCGTTCCACCTTAAATGATGCTGCGTTTACATTCTGGTGCCTCAGGCACAATTTAAGGTGTAATGGGAAAATTCGAACAAAAAGCTGACGAATGAGAAGCGATTTCAGCTTCATAAAACAGTCGAACGTTGAGAGACATTTTACAAGAAACTCTTCTACTTTTGAGGAAAAGTTTTCTGGAGATGGGAGGAAAGCGGCTAAAGCTAAAGCTTAAAGCAGAGCAAAGTAGCCAAGTCTGCGTTTTCTTTTATATTTTTAGCCTATACTAGGACATTAACACATACTGAGACATAAAATGTTGTGGCTCCCAAGGTGGTTTGATTTATGTTAAAGGACAAAATGTCTCTTCTTATCATTTGTGTTGTGACTCCTGACCTAACCTGGCTTTTAATGCAGAGGGAGCCGGTCGGATTTCTCGCTCATCCAGTCGTGCTTTTGTTATGTGCCGCCACAGACTGTCTGGGTGCTGCACTTCCCCACTTCCAAGTTGCGCCTTTTGCGTTCCGTCAACATTGTGTTATAAATTAAAATGTAGAAAATCTATTTTGACATTTGTGAATCGATTCTAGAATCGTTCACGTCCGCATCGCGATGTATCTAAGAATCGATTTTTCCCCTCCAACCCTAGGTAACAGTATGTCATACAATGTCAAAAAACCACACAAGCAAGTCTGTAAGGGACTGCTTAATCAACTCCACATGGTTTGAGGCAAGTGATGATTTAGACATGCAGTTAGCACCATGCTAATTGCGGGGGTATAATTTGCCTCATAGCTCAGTTGGAAAACTAAAGAAACAAACTTAAGTCTTAGTGTATATAGAAATGTGCACGTTTCCGCCAGATAAGGTCACTGCGCTGGTGTAAACTCAGCAATGTGGGTGAAGTCCAGTGTTACCTGACTTGATCTGTGAGCTCCTCCTCTTATGGCCACCTGATGGGGAGGGCGTAGTGGGCGAGAGCTGAGGGCTGAAGCTCTTCTTAGGTCGCGGCCCTCGGCCGTTCACTCCTGTCTTCTTCCCCCCATCCAACCTCTCCTTACCCTTCTCTCCATCTCCGTCTGACTCTTCTGAGAAAGAGTCCCCAGAGTTTCCTGACATTACTGAGAGAGACAGAAAGGGCAAAATAAATCAATGAAATAAATGCTATTTCCATTAGCATCTCTAGCGCCAAGCTAACTGGGGTTCATCCAAACAATTTATGGCAGCTGTAGCTAAAACACTGTCAACAGATGACTGCAAAGACATTCAGTGAACATTTGAGTAACGTTAAATCTGATCCTTTCAGTAAAAATTAAAACAAAGTTTGTGACTGAATTCTTCTGTAGGGGCCTAGTTGCCCTATTAGCTATTAGCAGGTCAGCCTACTATAATGTCCAATTTTGTTCATAAAATAAATAGTGCAACATTTGTAATACATAGCCTGTACTATTATTATCATGTTAAATATAGTGTTCTATTATTTTGTATGTAATACAGGTAGTTACAGTAGCAAACATTCTTGCTAGACCAAAGCCCTTTTTGTTATGTCTTTTTTTTTGTCACGTGTGAAAAATAAAAATATAATACTTTTTCCAGGTGAAGAGGAAATGAGATCACATGCAGCTTTTGTCTTCCTTTTTAAAACTTTCTAAAAGTCGATCTGGATATATGATGCAATTTCCAGTCAGGGAATAAGTGAACAATGCTCACTGGTTTTAACGGTGCATAGTGGGAACTTTCAGGGAACGATTTTGACAAAGACAAACCCTAGAAAATGGCTGATTCCTTCAGCAGTATCCCTAACTACTGAACAAGGGAGCTGTTTGAGACACCCAAAATAGGATCAGTAACCAGCAAGGTCTGAGCTTTAATAGTATAAATTAATGTAGGCTCACTATTTGGCAAGCAACAGGTCACTGTTTCTCTTTATATTTAAAACTGCTTATTAAATGTTTTATGAGGGGTTTACGACCCAATAACCACTAACAAAACTAATCTTCAACCCTTTATGATGGCAGTCTTACTGTGATACCTATTTTTTTACTGCTAAAATACAACTTAAAAACAAAAATAATAACGTAAAAAGTTATATACAGCACTAATATGTCTGTTGGGTGAGGGGATGGGGTCAGGGTAACCTTCTGATGAGTCAAATATCCTTGTGGGCAACTTTGGGTGGCCCTACACCACAGTAAATGTTCATAACAACGCTATCACTCTCAACAAAAAGAAACAGCACCATCTTGTGGATGAAGTCAGAAACACATATTGGTTATCTTTTAGTCTAAGGATGAGTTTTATGCATGTTAAAAACATCAATACTTACATTATAGATTGTCTGTTCTTGGGCCTTTGTGCATTATTACTATATTTAAACCCTAAATGTTATAATACCATCTTTTAACAGTAACATGGGTTATGCATGTTTTAACTCCTTTATTTTGGCTTTTTTCGCATACATTCCACCCACCGTCCAGCTCGAGGCAGATGTGCTGGAGACTCATCCCTCTGAATAGCACCCCGTCTCTTTCTCCATAAAGCACCACCCGGCCCACTCGCCCCATCAGCGCCGGGTCCTGGCTGATCCGGGCACAGCTCTGCGTCACGTGGTACTCCTTCTGGAGGAAGTCCTCCAGGCGTTTGGCGGTGGCGCCCTGGGGCCTTTCCCCTTCCTCCAGCAGGAGAAGCTGCGTAAGGATGGCCACCTGCCTGCGGGCACGCGGCGCCGTCAGCGCTGCCGGGTTTTTAGCTCCACTGGAGCGAGCCAGACCCCGCAAAAGGTCCGTGCCGCGTAGAGGGGTGGCTGGGGAGTGGTATGGCCGGGAAAAAACGTATGGGCTTTGGGGGTCCACTCCTACGTCAGACGAAGTTTTCAGGAGCAAGTCCAGGCAGGCTTCGGAATGTGGCGGGAGAATTAGCGGCTGGATGCGCCCGCGCTTTCCTAAAACGCCCCACACGGGGGCGATGACACAGCACGTGGCGCTCGAAAGGGGAAAGGGAGGCCTCTAAAGGAGAAATGGGGGGATTAGCAGGGACTCCAGTGCCGGAGGATGAGGAAGATGAAGGTGTAACACGGTTGCGGTAGTCGTGCACGGTCAGTTTGGCCACTTCACACTCACGGTGCCGGTTGTAGAGTATCAACAGCGCCAGGCTGGAGTGGCACAGCAGCCGCCACGCCTCAGCTGAGCTGCTGGAGCGAGAAAGGGAGAGGAAGGAAGAGTGCTGCTGCCGCCGCAGGTACAGAACCAGCGTGGACAGAGAGGAGAGGAGGGGGGGCATGTGAGAGCGGTGAGAACTTGGAGGGGAAAGAGAGAGAAGGGATGGAAAGAGGAGGGATAGAGAGAGAAGAAAAGGACAAGACAGTTAATAATAGGGACTGTTTTTGCAGTTAAAAGAAATAAAGATGTATTGATATGGGAATTATGGGCCGATGCTGATATCTAGATGTGGGCAATATGGCAAAATCATGATGCTTAAGGAAAATAACATTAAAAAACTTAAAATCTGTTTTTTTCTATTTTCAGCTTGTATGTTTCTTTCTGTTTTGAAAACTCGAAAACTTTTCCATCTCTTGTTTTGGCAATTTTGGCAAACATAGACATCCGTAACTTTGCTAGTGTGGGCTTATGACGACTTGCACACCCTGCTGGAGAAACTCCAGACTAAATGTGCCCCACTCTATTAAATGGAATTTCAAGCTATATCCAAGCATAAAAGGTGTTGTTATAGCTCTGGCGCTCTGGAATTCAGCTATAGATGTCTGCGAGAAACCAAAAAGTATTATATTTTAATAATTTTACAGCTCACCTAAAGCACTGGTATGACACTCGGAACATCCAGCAGAGGAAGTCAAGAATTTACTCTTTTTACTCTTTTAACTCTTTCACAGCTTACTAACGCACCATAATAATCCACTGTTTTAACAGTAAAAGGGAAAAAAAAAAACATTACATGCACACATGACTTAATATTATTTACGCTGTTTAAAGTTAAATTAGTCCACTCCAGTTCTGTCAGTTCTCTTCCCCGGCACAGGGATTATCACCTTCGATCACATTATTACTCAGGCCTAGTAGGAGTCACCAACAGATGTAAACCACAAAAGTTACAGTTGGCTAGGTATTACTGTAACAAGAACTCACATTCACTTGCTCAACCCCTTTTAAACTCGTTCAATATAAACAGTGCATCCGCAACCATCCACTAACAGACCTCCTTCAAACTCCTTCGAACCAGCAGTCTTACCAACCACCACAATACAGGACCACCCACAGTAGTAGTTGGAGTTTAAAACTGCAGAGTCTATGCATTTACATTTTTCAAAGAAAACGGCAGTTGCATGTGTGTGCATGGCAGTATTTCTTCTTGTACTATTGTTGCTATCGTCTCTCATATCACTTCCACTGTCGGTGAGTCTGTGAGGTTAGGTTCTGAATGAAAAAAAAAAAAAAATTTACCTCAGAGTATTTCAGCTTACTGCGGAGACTTAGTAATGGTGTCAAGCAAGCTCCCTTTCCAGCAGCTCAACAGTGACAGACAGCCTATCACAGCTCAGGTTTTCTGTTTCTGCCTTGTGTCCACTAAAATACTTTTACATTCTGGATTTGATGCTGATCAAAAGTCTGAACATTTAATCCTTCTTATAATCTTCTGGCTTTAATCATTTTGAACTCCAACGTTTCTCACAAAAGCAGCTCAGGTTATAGCAGTCAATTTTTAACTGTTACCACATTCACAGTCTTTTTTCAGACAACTTTTATGGACGTCAGTCAACACAACTCGGCATACTGATGGACTCAGAGTTTGTTAATTTCACAGAAATCGTAGATCTTTACGAAGCTGCAACACTAAACAACCTGCAACAGACTCAAGAGCCTTTAAACCTCGATTCCTACATTCCCCAGAGTTCACTTCGACTGTTACAGCTGGTGGGGGTGTGACTATATCAGCATTGCACAATCAACAATCCAAATAAACCCCAGGGAATGTAGAAATCAAGCTTTCTCAAATAAAAAGGCTCAATATCTTTGCAAGTATGCCACAAAATTGTATGATTTTTGTAATAAAAACTGATCAAAGCTATTTGACAGCATGCCTGGTCTGCTTTAAGTACATCCTAAAAATATAATAATGAAGTTTGACTAGGGTATCAATTGGTAGGCTAGCATATCTTACCTAAATTGTGTTGCTGTGTTGTCTATGAAAACAAAGATAGTAGTTTAATCAGCAAAAATACTGGATCCCTAGTAACAAACTAAATGAATAAACACATACCTTTCCAAATCGCCATTCTTCTCTTCTCCACTGTCATTTTCTCTCGATTCGTTCATCTCCAGCTCCTCATCATCATCTTCCTCCTCCTCTTCTTCCACGTCTTCCTCCTCGTCTCGTCCTGGAGTGGGCGGAGGCTCCTCCTTCGCCCTTTCCATCTCCTCCTGTTTCCTTTGCTGCTCTTCCTTCTCTTTTTTGGGCCGGCGCCCCCTCCTGGACGGAGGGGTGACGCTGGGCGTTACGGGGGAGGTTTTGACCGCTGCTGCTGTAACGGGCGTTGCAGTCTTCCTAGGAGGGGTGGAGAGGGAGGCAGGGTTTTTTTTGGAGGCATTTGAGGCTGCAGACGCTGGAGGTGGAGAAAGGGAAAGGGAAAAGGACATGGCTCCGGAATTGGACGTTGACTGCGAGTCCCGTTCGCTGCGAGAAAATAGCGACGGACCGGCAGCAGCGGAGGAGGAAGAGGAGGAAGAGGGCTGCAGGGGTGAGGAGAATGAGTGTGAGCTGGAGCCTGTGGAGTGTGTGTTGGATGCTGTGTGCGAGGAATGAGTGTGGAGGTGCGCAAGTTCCATAGCGGCCCGGATTTCCGGCTGCTGGTCGTGATGTTTTTCCAAATGTCTGGCCAAAGAGCGGAAATTCCGTCCACAGTACGGACAGTGCTGTCGCCTGCTGACCGTGCTACTGGCACCACGACCGATGTTTATGTTTATGTTGTTGTTTATGTTTGTGGTGGGAGGAGCCAGAGGCGCCTGGAAGGGGGACGAGGAGGAAGGGGCAGGGTGAGCGAAGGAAAGTGGGCGGGGTTGAGCCCTCTGGGTCTTTTTCTTGGAGCTGGGTGCCGTTTTTCGCTTCTTTCGTCGACGCATCATTCGGCCCCTCAGTTCCTCCAGCTCTTCTTCGTCCTCGTCGTCATCGTCATCTTCCTCCTCTTCGTCTTCCTCGCGGTCTGAGTCGCTGGGCTCGGAGTGTGAGAGCGGAGAGGAGGAGGGGGAGAGGGACCATGAGGGAGTGAGGTAGTCTGAAACGGTGAGAGAGAGAGGGAGGGGGCCTGCCTCCTCCTCCTACAGAGATGGAGAGAGAAATAAGGACAATTACATTTAAAAGGTGCTGTATTTTATGGTTTCACACCACAACAGGAAAACAAATGGGAAAAAATCCAGAAATGGAGACAAGAACCTGTAAATACAGAATGTACATGTAATTTACTATGGGAATAGGCCTGTTACGTTCATGATATTTTAGCTAACAATTTATTGCCATGTAAATAATTATGGTTAACAATTTAAATGGGGAATTCCAATTTTTTTCAAAATGTTCTGGAAAATTAAATCTTCTGATGTCTGAGACATTATTGTACGATAGTTTTGACAAGATTTTGGTTTAAAATATACTTTAAAAATCCATGGTGGAGAGATACAGGTGAGGCAAAATAATAAACAAAAAATTTTTCACAATTTTTCACAATTTCACCATCAACAGTAGGTTTTCACTGGTGGTTTTAGACAGTAAATAAAATGGCTATATTTTTGTTGTCGACATCGCAACAATCTGTCATCTATACATATATATACATATATATCTGTAGAGAAGCTAAGAATGTTTTTGCTTAAACTATGTGGAAGACTGCACTCTGTGTTAACAGACATTTTATCACTTTTCCCATGGGAATATAATAAAGTCTATCCCTATAAAGTCTAGATTTTTGTTTTTTGTCTACATACTCACAGATCACTGCAGAAATGTGCAGTATTACTGCTTTCCCCATTCCCGTGCAGCTTTCTAGTATGTATAGTGCCATTAACAATTCACTAATCATAAGAAAATGTTTTTCAAAATAGAAAATGTTACAGCTCATAATCTGAAGTAACAGTAACATTAACTAGCTAGCTAGCTAACTAATTCACCTAGTCTTCACCATCCAGAGCCTCTTATTCAGAAGCTCCAGCATAACTGCTGTGTCCCAAGCCAGACAAGGTCAGCTTTGCAAACGTGGCAGTTTGCAACCTTTTTGGCTGAATTAGAGTGAAGTACTCCCCCTGACTTTGGCAGATTTTGGTCATGAAGGTGATGCCACTGCACGGTTGTTCACCTCGCTCATAAGCAGCAATGCTTACATGTCAGTGCATTCTGAGTCAGCATGATAAACACGATGATATCACCAACTCATTGACAATTAAATTTGTTGACAACTAATTTGGACATCGATTTTAGTCGACTTTTTCCCCTTTTATTGTCTTTTTTTGTATATAAAAAAGTACAAGGGTAAGTGGCCAAATGAGATGTTCAGCTATCTTTCTTCTTGCTATTGATACTTAGTAGCCCCTAAATGACAGTTGTGAGAGAGAAAATCCAGGATTAGACGAAACTAAGATTAAAATCAGCTGGCTAAGATGTTTTGTTTAGGAATAGGAATCTAATAAATAAGTTAAATGTTTAACTGTGTGCTGTACGCATCCGGACCAATCGAGGCTGAGTTTCTGTGGCTGTCTGGATGAATCAGGGTATTCAAGTTATCCAATAAAAGTAAATAACTTTGGTAAAAAATAATACAGGCCAGTCTTTAATCACAACAAAGACAAATTATTGTGTTTTAATATAGCAAAAGGTATACTCGTATGGAAAAACTTAACTTTACAGGAGAAGGAAATGTCACTTTTAACTTTCAATGTAAGATAATGTAATAAGGTTTTATTTTTTGTAATTTGTAACCATTTTTCGTTTGGTCTGTTCATCAAGAAACCTTCACGGGGTGTAAAGGGCAGCTGATACTTTCACATTAAGTCAAAAAAAGACAAAAATAGACATGCAAGGTTTTGTTTTGGCAGTAATGATATGCTGTTTCACAAAAGGAGGCAAGCAAATTCATACTGAAAGCTCTAAAAACTGAATTAAGAATATAAACAGAACAGATAGTTTTATAATTAAATTATGTATAATGGATGTGTTAAGTACAATGTATATGTTAATGAATTTAAACGTGTGTGCATTTCTGTCACGGAAAATCTAAAAAAGTTCAGCTTACCTTCTTGATATTGTTGTCTGGATTGAAGCCGCATTCAAAGCCACGTGGCGATACGGATCGATGGAAACCCTGGATTAACCACAACAAAAACAATGAAACTGTGTCTACAAGTTGGGACAGTAGGTAAAATGCAAATAAAAACTGAAAGCCGTGATTTGTCTTTTACAGGTATGTTGCTGGAAACATCATGAAGAAGAAATATTTAGTGTTGTTTCTTACTAATTTTATTGATTTTTTTTAATAAACGCTAATTCTAAATTTGATGCCTGCAACACATTACAAAAAAGTTGAGACAGGAGCAATGTAAGACTGGGAAATTTGTGGAATGATAAACACTTTTTGGAACTTTTCACATGTAAGCAAGTGAATTACCTAACAGGTGATGCTATAAAGACCTCAGTCATCACTTTGCAAAAAACTGTGTGAGTGAACAGTCCAACAGTTTAAGAACATTTCTTAATGCACAACTGCTATTAATTTAGGAAAGTTCACCCTCTACAGTCCACAGCATCATTAAAAGATTCAGACAATTCGAAAAAATCTCTGTGCATAAACAGCAAGGCCAATACTGAACGCCTGTGACCTTCAAACCCTCAGGTGACACTGTATTAAAGACATGCTTCTGTAATGAATACAACCACATGGGTTTGGGAATACTTTGAAAAACTCTTGCCAGTACCACCACAAATTGTCGCTGTATCTACAAATGTAGTGGTAGAAACGCCACTGTCCCACCTTTTTGGAACATGATTCGGACTAAGCAAATATTTACAGAAAAATAGACAAAACGTGAAATATCTTATGTTTGTACTGTTTTCAATATAATACAGATAAAAAAAACAAAAAAAAACAAAACAAAAAAAAAAACAATAATCATAGCTGTCTGTTTCTATTTACATTTTACCTACTGTCCCAACTTTTCTGGAATTTGGTTTGAAATTTGGTTCGTTTCTAATAAATAAATCTAAGTATATTACATGTGAGGGCTTTGATTACCATGGCGTTTTCTCCCCAGTCGGTCAGGCTGTAGTCAACTGTTATTTCCTCTCCTTTGGCAATGTCTCTAATCGCTATGACGACCAGCCGCACCTGGCTCCCACAGTGCACCTCTCTGATCCTGCAGTTGGGCGGGGGATGGAAGAGCACAGGGCCGCGGACCCCGCTGGCGCCCTCCTCACCGAGCTCCGATACACTGCAGCACATTCAACACACATTTAATCCCAGAAACACATCTGTGATAAACATAGACAGTGCTGTGTAAACGGCTTATATGCCTCTAAGACACCTTATGGCCCAAATAAACTGCTTTGAATATAGTAATTAATTAATTGCCATTAATATGTTGATTGAACTTTCACAGCTAGGTTATGTAAAGATTTCTGTCTCGATATAAATATGATGAGTGAAAAGTTACAAATTTATTTTTGGCTACAAAGTAGAGGAGCAAATACTAGCATACTATGTAGTTTATTTACAGGGCACCTATAGCATGTCTCTGATGAATTTGTGAATACAAATTGAAATGTTCTGAGTGTATATGGGGGTATATGGAATTCTCTGACTGTTTACTTTTGGAGGTGTTAGTAGTAACAGTGTGCTCCCCATGTGAAGGATGTACTTTAGCATGGCTAAAACATCTGCTTCTAAACATTGCTATATTACAGCCACTATGAAGGAGATTAAAATAATACAGGAGTGAATTCTGTGACTCAGTAATCAAACACTTACGATGAAAAAAAGACACTTTTATGGTACAAAAACAGTCTTAAGCATGAATCTGGTTAAATATCTGTCTGATGGCTGTCCAAATTCACGGATGATGGGAAGCTTTGGGAACACGAGATGATGACCAAAAGCACATTCTACTGCAACTTGTTTAACTACATAAAATATTAATTTCATAAACATTTTAACTCATGTTAGGTTGTGCCCTGCTTTCTCCTATTATCTATCTATTTATTATACTATTTTGCATTGTGGTTTACAGTTATATATATATATATATATATATATATATATATATATATATATATACACACACACACACACACATACACACACACACACACATACATATAGCTCTCAAACACAATCAGTGATGTTTACTGTGTGCTGTGATCATCCTGACCAATCACAGATCCATATGAGTTTCTGTGGGTGATCTGATCAATCAAGGTTATTACGTATTCCAAAAAAAAGGAAATTATTTTGATCAAAATAATGCAGACCAGTCTGTAACTATTTGAACTTATTCATTCACTGATGTGATTTTAATAAACTGCAAGGAATATTGCAATCGCAATACAGGGTAATATAAATGCAAAAGTAGTATTTGGCTCACATGGTACTCTCTTATTGTTTTGTAGAATGCAGAATAAATGCTCACCAAAGCTGAGTGGGGTCAGTGAGGTAGTAGGGGCTGCCAGGTGGCGGGAGCCGGTCCTCCACTCCGTCTGGATACTGCCCATCACCTGAAATGTAGTGAGACATTATAAAGACTTAACAATCAGTTATCTGAAAAACTACATTTATGGTAAATGAGGTCTTCAGCTGCATCAGGACATTGACTTTTACAGAAAGTGCTACGTTAATAAAATTTAGCCAAACATAAGAACTCTGTCATGCCGTTTTGGCTACGTTCACATTACCAGGTTGAAGTGGCACAAATCTGATTTTTTTGCCCTAATATGACTCAGATCTGATGTTTTAAGGGCTGTGTGGACACACAAATCTGATCTTTTCAAATCCAACCTGAGCCAGTTTCATATGTGGTCCTAGACAGAATACGCATCCGATTCGCGGCCATGCGACCTTAACGTGAACACTCAGATCTGAATTCATGTGCTTTTTTCCCCACTGTGCTTGCGCCATCATTCAGCGTTACCATGGCAGCAGCGCCAAACAAAAGTTAAAGACTGTAAATGGTGGACAAGCAACACATCTCACCTTTTCTGCCTTCCTCTTGCTCTAATAATGAACAGCTGAGAGCTGATCAGAGTTAATTATCTTCACAGCGAAGGCTCGTTCTGCTCATTAGTTCATTTGATGATGATGCATGTGACGCACGTGATTCATTCACATGACGTTACTGAGTAGGATGTGCGCACGCGGGTCATTTCAGGAGGCTGGTTCATTTACATTAATGAAAGATTTAAATCGCTTACCTAAACGGGTGTGAACCATCGTGTCAGAGAGGTCGGATTTGAGCAAAAAATCTGAATTTCAGCAATGAGGCTTGTAATGTGAACGTAGCCTATGATGCAAAAAATATGAACATCATACTTGGAGAGCCTACAGAAGGTTCTTGTTTGAACTATTTGTTTGTTTTTGTGCCCTGCATATATTGACAAACATGTATAGTGTTTATGTCCAAATAATCCCTGTATTGCTGTGCCATGTCCTAACAGCAAGTGAGCCCTCAAATGTAGTATAACATCACATTGCAAAGCCTTCAGGATGTCCAGACAGGAAACATCAAGTCAAAATCTAAACCAACAGAGCGATCAGAAAATAACTTCATAGTTCAAAATAGGTTTCTCCTCATCCATTTTGAGGCAGAATGGCAGTGCAACGCAAAAATAGAAATGGGGCTTCCATCAACAATGGCATGTTGGCATCACGCTCTGCCACTTGCAGCTGGTGTAGACAGCTTCATTGATTATAATGGAAGAGGTCTGGTTTTGCCCTTGTTGATCTCTCACGTTGCTTGCCGTTAGGACAAAGTGTGACCCCTTAAACTCTAAGGGTCTGTATGAGGGTCCACTTCAGAGATTTAAGAGATACTAAATCATTCACAGGGGTGAATAATTTATGGTTGTTACCGAAAAATTCCTAATAGTTACAGAACAAATTATTGGAGTAACTGAATCATTCAAAGTAGTTAAAGAAAAATTCTTTGGAGTAACCAAATAATTCAAATATTCAGGAGACTTAACAATTCATAGTACATACTGAACAAATCACAATAGTTACTGCATAATTTATAGTAGTTACCAAATAAAGCAAAGCAAATACTGTATATTTTTAGCAGATATTAAAAACTTCATGATAATTATCGAGTAATTCATAATAGATATTGAACAAGTGACAGAAATTCATAACAGATACTGAATTGTGCATAGGAGTAACAAAATAATATACAGGGGATAATTCAAAGTAGATACTGAATATTTAATGGTAGATACTGATTAATGTATTGTAGTTACAGGACAATGTACGGTAGACATACATACAGTATTGACTGTATAAAAATGTAATAAGTTGATCATGTTAATCATAAGATTAATACCTAAAAAAACTGGCCTGTGGTTCACAGAATTAACATGCAAAATGTTATATTTTTACGTTTCTGCCTGATTATTATGTGTGCATGCATGTTTGCTATGTAGACCTGCTGAAGATAAACTGCAGTAAAAAAGAGACTCACTGTGGTAGTTTTCATCACTGATAAATAGAGGAAATGATGTCAGGATGTGGTTTCAAAGCCCATCTTCTCAACGCAAACAGGTACTAAATACTTTTTAGTCGAGGTTTTGTAATTTCAAAGCAGCATCAAGAACATAAGGTTGTGCAAAACTGTCACTCTGATTAAATGATCACATCTGAATAAAAAGAGATGCAAATAGAAACAGATTGCAACAGCCTGTTGTTGCTATTTGCGTCTGAGTCAAACATTAAAACAGATTCCCTCTAGTTCAAACAGAGCAGTATATCCTGTGCTGGGTGAGCGTGTGTACCTGGGCTGTAGCTGTGCTCAGACAGACTTTCCTCTTCATCTTCCGTCACATAGGCTCGGTCACATACTTTCACTGGAGTACCCTTCCTTTTTCTCCCACATACACGCCTGCAAGACAAATGTAATACAATCATGTATACATGACATATAATAATGTTGCTGTATAAATGCATTTAAAGGGGACAGAATGAAAAATGTAACTAGATTAGCAGTGCACAAACATTTTGTCTTGGAGGGCCAAAGTACAATGCTTGTAGTGGGCTGAGGGCCACAAAGACAAAACAGTACAAAACAGTTTGTATGAACATCGTTTTTTTTTTTTGCTAAAATACTTAAAAAATACAATTTAAAAGGGAATTAGAAGGTCTTAGGTAACATATAGTATTACAATTTGGATTGCTTTGGATAGCCCTGGTGCGGAGCGAGGTATTCCAGTTGAAAGACTACTTCTGATGATGCATCTTGAAGGTGGGCAGAGCTTTGGGGCAAATACTGGCTAGCTGACTGATGCAGAAAGAAGCCAGGTAGCTAACGTTACTGCTAGGAAGCCAAATATCACATCTGAATATGCTAGCCTCCACATGAGCAGCTTTCTTTATTGCTGTGGGGGGATTCCCTAACGTATCTGCATAATGCATGCTGGGTATCACTGATTGAGAAAAACACAGAAAGGATACAAAATCGTGAATTATATCCAGACAGTGAGGCTGAGGGCTGCAATACTGTGCTACATAATATTACATAATATGACAAACAAATCTACCAAATGCTAGTTTTTGGTTGGAATTCCCCTTTAATTTGTGCATCATGCATGGGCCACCAAAACAGAGCATCTATGGTGAAGTTTCCCCCCAAAACAGAAGTTTCTCGCTTAACCAACAGAATTGCACATCAGAACAATGAAATATATCATGGAAGACGCCATGCAGATTAATAAACACATCATGATTATCATTAACATCATCCAAAGATGGCTAAATAAAGCAGTCCTATGAGTTTCTTACAATTAAGATGGAATACAGAAAACAGCATTTTAATCCTGTGTGGTGCCTGTTATGAATGACACATGTCTCTCTCCACACCTACAAGCCTGCATAATTTCCCCAGGCCAGCTTTAGCTTAGCTAACGTTAACCCCCTAACAGCCCATTCAAAGCTTTTCTCTCTCTACATTTCCCTCCACCTTTACTGCTAATGACACCTGAAGGGCCCAAATCTCGGTGTGACCCTGAAGCACATGTTGTTACTGCTTATACAAGTAATAATGAGCACGGCTAGCTCCTGCCCTCATCATGCTGCATGCAAGCAGGGACAACAAGAGAGAAACTAAGACAGGGGAGATCCTGCTGCTGCAGCTCGCCGCCGCCGCTGCTGTGCTGCCCAGCTCAGACTCAGCCGTAAACAGAGCAGCTGGACGGGCCTGCAGGCCTCCAGGTTCACGTTCCGGCTTGGTTCTGGCCCGGACAGCTCGGTACTGACCCGCGGGATGTCGCAGGCTTGCTGCCGTCTCCATCGCTGTCGAGGGTCGGGGGCTCTCGGTAGTCGAAAGGCGACCGCACGTTCTCCGCCATTACGGCTTTGCTACGGACTAGCGATGCCCGACTCATGAATGAATCGTTTTTTTGAGTCGACTCATTTGAATCGCTTGCTCTCTACAAGCTGCTCGAACCGATTCGCAAGTTGAAATGGAGTAGAAGTGAAAATTTTACGTGCGTGTTATATAATCGGAACTTTTCTAATATAAAATACTGCTTCTAACAAGGTACAACAGCATCGAACATCGGTGATAACAATATTATCAACAAACAACAATAATAATTTTTATTTTACAGCTATACAGACAGGTGATAAATTACAGTAATAAAAGAAATTACAGTAATTACTAGTGATTTTCTTTTGTTACTGGTTGGTAACAGCAATTAAAAAATGAATAAATGAGTATTAATTGTATAGGGTCAATGCAAACTGTGCTTTGTTAAAGACTTCTAATAAAAAGTGTTTAACAGCTACATTTTACAATAATAAAACTTAAATCCACTTTGCAATGCGCATGCGTATGACGAGGGCCTCACCAGGCATGCGCGGAGTTTCAGCTGGATAAAATATGGGTTAAAAAGGTAGGTTTTGCCTTTTTTCTGCTAATTGATCTTTATTAATCTTTCCTGTATGTTTATTCTATCTGTAAACGTTTTGTGGAGCTCTTTCAGCTGCATTTCTGTGTGCTACACAAATAAAGTGTCTGTGTTTGAGCTTCGTGCTAATGAGAAAGGCGCTTTATGGCTGAAAACATTTAATTATTATTATTCATAGCCGTCGAGTGGTATTGTCTGCCACTGTAACGTGTCTGTCCGTCTGAATGAAAGTGAATCGGTGAATCGGATGTTGAGATACAGTTCGAACGAATTGGTTCGATCAAGTGAATCGAACTTTACACCGCTGCTTCAGGGGGAATCCGGGGCGCGTGCGCACGATGAGTGTTCAACTGCGCACGCGCAACGTTTGAGGTCGGTAAGATGGGGGTAAAACATGAATAAATAAAATAAATAGACAACAATAAAAGAAACATAGACAAACACTGCTGCACTGAAGACCCCCAGAACTGAACACACAGTATAGTACTTGGGTGTATGAGTCATTTTTTCATATTACGCTACCAATACTTATTGAAATATTTATTTATTCATATTTATTGAAGGGATTTTTAGTAAAAACAGAGTTGTTAAGAAATAAATACAACCGTTTGCATGCAACAGTTTGCTATGATACTGCAGATTAGGTTTTCACAGCATCTATTTTTCATATTTAGGTGTTAGTACCTATTCTGGTACCAATACACATATATTTATTTAAAGAACTTAAAAAATGCAACAGAGAAAACAAAGGCAACATTTTGCTACAATACACTGCAACAATAAGTGCAACAATTATGATTAAATAATATGTAATTAAGAACTAAATAAGAAAGAAAACAGTATAATTTCCCCCTCCCCTCCCATGGCATTAAAGGGGAATTCCACAGAATTTTCAAAATTTCTGTATCATTAATTCATTGAGATGTAAATAAAGTCATTCAGAGTGGTTTGGTGTGAAATGCTCTAATCTAGAGAAACTTACTGAGTCAGAATTGTTCACAATGGTGGTGATAGGAACCAGGCGTCCATCTCTAAAAGCTTCCTCACAGAAAGTTATTACATGAAATGGATCATGAACACACTGCCTGATGTCTGAGACACTGTTTTAGTTTTGAAAAGATTTGGGGCTAAAACTTTGGTTTTGGATACTGGATACCATCACTGTAAAAAAAAATCAGAGTCTCTACAATGAACCATTTCACTCCAAACCCCTCTGAATGACTTTGTTTACAACTCAACCACTAAAACTTTTAAAAATCAGTGGAATTCCCCTTTAACATTCAAACGGCTTCACTATTCAATAACATGGTATGTTTCATAGTCACAGTAATGAACAGATGCTACACAGAGAAAGTTAGTGCAATGCAGCCTGTTAGCACCTATAAGCTCTAAAGCTTTAGTGTTTAATGGATAGGCTCCTGTGTAGTGCACTAAGTAGGTAGTCTGGAGCCATTCGAGATCCAAAGGCTGGCAGCGTGAAGGCAATCTGCATGTTTTGAATAAACTGAAATGAATGATTCACTTTTTTTTTCTTCATCATTTATTCATCGGCGGTCATCAACGTATCATACTCTCATAAATAAAAATACAAAAAAAAACAAAAGCAAACATTCCAAAAATAACAGTCTCGCCTACATTCTCAAGTCCTCACATTTCTCCAACAAAGCGTTGTTAGTTGATCTGAAATGAGCATGATTCACGGTGAGCAAAACAGTTTTTGGCGACAGACATGCAACAGTTTGCCACGATGCATTGCAGAAAACCGTGCAACAGTTACGATTAGATTTTTCACAGCATCTATTTTCATATTTAGTCGTTAGTACCTATTCTGGTACCAATAAATCACATATTCTTTTAAAAGATTTTAGTATAAACAAAGTATTTAAGAAATAAATAAATAAGAAAGAAAGAAAGAAAGAAAGAAACTTCATTTTTTGAACTGTCACTAGTTTGTCTTCCATGGCATTAATGCTAATGTCAACACTATTCACTAAAGTATGTATTACAGTCACAGTAATGGAGTAATAGAGAAACGCTACACACAAGCTGTTAGTGCAGTGCGGTGTTAGCAGCTATATCTTCTAAAGCTTTAGTGTTTAATGGCTAGGCTCTTCTGCACAGAGGGCACTTGTACATTGTTTAAGATTTGTATGTTAATTTCTTTAAATATATTTTGAACACTCTACCATTTAAAAGTTTGGAATCACTTGCCATCTTAATTCTTCTTACTTTATAAACAGTAATTTGGACAATGTGAATTTAAATATTAGAAACTATTGACTAAGCTATTTTTAATCTTATTCAAAAGTTAATCTTGTTCAAAAGGTATTTATGGTGGTTATTAGGGTGTGGCCATGCAGTAACTATGTTATTTTAGATGGGTTGCTAGGGTGTTGCTATGGAGTTCATATGGTATTCCAGGTGGTTGCTGGGGTATTGGTATGTGGTTACTACAGCATCTGTCATGGTTGCTGGGGTGTTGCTGTGTGGTTACTACGATACTGGAGGTGATTGCAAGGGTATTCAAACTTTTGAATGGTAGTGTATAATAACAATATTAGCTGGTGTGAAGCTTCAACTTGAGATGGACATTGATGGCCCAAATCTCACTGAAGTACATAAACTTCTGAAGGATTGTAAACTTTGAGCTTGATTAACAAGTTTGCGGTCGAGGCCATAAGACATGGCAAATTTCTCATGAAGTAGGAGGCAGTTTAACTTCAAACAGCACAACAAAACTCTAATGAGTTTTTCTCCTTCAACTGTTTGAGATTCAAACGTGTAACTGAAGCGCCTGTGCAAACCTATTGACACTGATGGTCGAATTACACTGGAGAGAGATTCGTGAGTGCGATGAGGTTCAGGGCTCGTCCCTGACCCTGGAGGCCGGCCAGAAGTACTGTGATGATACATTTCACAAAAGAGACCTAGCCATTACAGTCCAGTGAAGCGCTACCAATGAACTCTCTGTAGTAGGAACATTGTTGTTAGAGGTTGCATTGTTAAGAGTTTTGTTTCAACTTGACACATGAGACCTTGGAATTGCTGAGATCTGCCTTTGGTCAAGAAAAGGGCAAGTAACTTACTCTTAGTCATTTATATGGAAGGCTGGGGCTGCAGGATACGGACAGAATACCATAGTATTATTCTACTACTGCACATTGCAATTGCAATATGCACTGCAGTATAATAAAACACTTTAAAGACTGGCCTGCACAGAATGATCTACCTGATCCAAAAGCTAATATTTTTCAGGATAGCAAATAAAGATTTCTTTGTGATTTACTAAAGACTTCATCACATTTTAGTGATATCATGTCAAAATTGTGATACTGATTAACAAACAAAATATTTTGTGCAGCCCCCCTCAATAAATAAAAACAGTGTAATATGTTCCAGAAAAGTGAGCTTTTGAAAAGATTAGGACAAACATGAATAGGCCCAAAACATTATAACATGGACCTTCAGATATTTGACACTTTTTGAGAGGGTGATCTCGCTGAAATCAGCTTAGACTTAGTCTTGGTCCTGGCCCCAAACCTAGCTGTATATGTATGGCTCATTTCACACAAACTGGTCCAGGCCCCGTCATGGATTTCCATAAAAAGGAAACCAGGCAAAATCTTAAATATTAGCAAAATTTTAAAGCTATGTTCCAAGTAGTTGTTTCAGCTATAATTTTTTAAACTTTGCCCCATTGCAATCAGACATAACTGTCTTTAGGACATAAGATCAGTGCCTTGTGGAAAATTTTTTTTCTTTTTTTATGTCATGTTCAACTCATAGTGGATTCAGAAATTAGTAATTCATAGATATTCTATATCTATACATAGATATAGAAATGTAAGAATCCTACATAAAATGTACATTTTGATGAAATATTGCACAATTTGACCTATAAATCAGCTGTTAGCTGATATAAAGTAAAATATTAGTCTTAGTGGTGCATTTATACACAGGTAATATTTCAATATTTTAAAATTCATAGCTAAAAATCTACTTGAAGCACAGCTTCGAATTTCAGCATGAATCTTTGAAAGATTTGCTTAAATTTTTTTCAGGGAAATCCATGACATGACCAGATAGGGCCTAGCTGAAAGGCCATATCATATTCAATTAATTCAATATAAGAAATTTGAATTTACTGCTGTCTTATGTTGTACGAATTGCAGACTAGTTGTTTTAGTCAGACAGAGCTCTGTAATTCCAGGGACTTTCTGCATGTGTCTGTATGTAGTGATCTATCTCAGCACTCAGTGTTTGTATATACAGGGCATTTATAGTTCCTGTTCCCGGTGCTCCGCCTCTCTCTCAGAGTGCAGCACGTGAAGGGCCTGAGTAGCCGAATCTGTCCAGTGGATCAGCTCCAGCAGAACCCTGTAGGTCCACTGCTTGTTGGCAAAGCTGCCTGAACCTTCCACCTCATCCAGACCCTGGAAGGAAAAAAGGAGACAAACAAGAAGCGTTTAAAGCAATAGTTTGGTGAAAAATAAATTATTTATGCTTTACCCCAAATATAGTCAATCAGCCAAGACTTATCTAGGGTCCTAAATTTGCTTCTTAAGCTACAAGACTAATGTAGCTAACAAATAATGTAAGCTTATACCCACCATTTAGCATCTGCTGGGAGCCTAAAAACGTATGGAGTTGTTAATCTATGACAAACTTAATTATGTGGTTTCTGGTTTCTTTAACTTTACAGCATATTGCGGTCTTATTAAAATATATGTTAAAGTAAACAGTGTTGAGTTTTTCCCAAGACAGCCAAAAATTTCAGCATTACTGCATCAGCAAGGATTTGAACCCTCTCCAGCCTTATCCTCTATGCCATCTAATTACTATGAGCTAGTGAGTTATACCTCGGTTTCAGAGCTCCACAGAGCCCGGCTTAAATTACTCATATTACAATAACAGAAACTTGGCCTGCAAGTTGTAGCACCCCTTAATGCCGACATTGTGTTTGGTTGTTCAAAATAACCATATTATGGAATATGACACTTTCTCAAAGAGATATAATGACTGTTTATCCAGCACAGTGATGATGTACAATGAAGAACAAACACATAAGACAGTTATTATTACACATCAACATTTAATTCGGAGGGCAATAGGGAAGAGAGTCAACTGGACTCTGGGTTGGTCAGACCATTATTCTGAGAACACCAGCATCTTCTTTGTTTGATTTGTCTGTTTCTTTTTCTCAGTAAGAGCCTCTTGTCAGCTACACATCCATTCAGACTCATAGCGGTGATTTGTCTTTTCACAGAGGAAGGATGGACAGAAACACCTGTGGATTTTTCAGATCTGACTTGATTTTCTTCTCTCTCTCAAAGATGAAAGCTTTAATTACTATTTATCTGATGGGGACAGCTTTGGTGGTCTACCAGGTCTTGCAGGTAGTTGTTAGTGAGTCCCATTTTCCCTGTAGCTGTTAAACATTTTTTTGAACTCCACATTATTTTCAACTTTTCTTATATATCCCTGTACGTAATAGCTGTTTTGTCTGGAAATTAAATAACTGAAGGGTAGTCTCAGACTTTTGAAGCATGATTTTTTACTACCAATTTTTTAAAGAAGCACAGACACCAAAAAATGCCCTGGCTGATTGACCACATTGGGTTAAGGATTGAACAGATGGCTCTCGGTTGTTTGCCAAGAGCACACATCGCTTTTTTAGGGATTGTTTGTGAGCATGTGAGTGGACAGTTAGGTTAAATAAGGCCAGGGAATGTAGGAGTATACAGAGTGCGTGGGAGAGGAAGGATGTCCGGCAGATAAAATGCAGAGTTCCACACATCTACTTTGTGGTCAATACATAGGCGTTGTGGAGCATGAAAATAGAGTAAACAACACATCCAACACCAACACGGGAGGAAATGGCACTCTTATCATGAGTCAGACTTGCTCTTAGACAGCAGCATCACGCTCACCCTCAAGGCCTCCCCTGTGTTTACCTCCACATCACATGCCACCATGTCACCCGTTTTAACAGTGTCTGGCCGCCACGTGGTGGGGGAGACGTGTTGGCAGCGGATGTATGGGATTTGGAGGAGTGCGTGACGGGGGAGCTGCTTTACCGTAAAGAGGGATTTACTGACAGGCCTTGGCAAAGCGCCAACCCGGAGTTCAAATGCTCAATGAAGTCACTCCTGTGCAACACACAGACACCAATAACGCAAACAATACTTCACCGCTGTTAAAAAAAGTGTTTTGTGGTAAAGACAACTCCACAAACCATTTGCATTATTAAATGGTTCTTCTCCATGATGGAGAACCTGTTGAATATCATCACTGTACCTCCCAAATAGTAACTTTAGGAGTTCTTAACTTTTGCTGTGAACATTCTTAACTTTTAAAGCAAGTAAATGTATGGAGATTTCATTTGAAATCATTTTGGAGCATTTCTAATGCTCCATTCATCATGAAATGTGCACACAGCAGCTGTAGAAAAGCAAAATTGGAGATTTTGGACAGAGTTAACATTTCACACATAAAGAGACAACAGCGTTCATCTGATAACAGATCATATTTGTTAAACATATCCACAGCAACTTCAATTGCCCTGGCAAAATGGGCTTGCAGAAAGAAGTTACAGGCTCCCTGATTTATCTTTTTTAGTGAAGTATTCTAAAATTAAGTTCATTCATCATTCTGTCTTTTTCCAAAAAAAAAACAAAAAAAAAACCTAATTAATCAAATCAACAAAATAATTGGTAGATGACTAATATAACTGATAGTGACAGCCTCAAAAACTAGTAGCCCTCCTCATAGAATAGCGGCAGAACTTCATAGGCTGGCTTTACACAATGAAACCTACACGCAACTTGCTTGAAAAATACATGAAACTATATTTCACTTGAAAAGCATAATGTGCATTGTGCTGCAACTCACTTGAAACGAAACAAGCTTCATAGTGTTGAACATCATTTCAAATGATTTTTGCTGGATCAATGAACAATTGCTATTTATACATTAATTTTCAATGACTTAACATATACAGAAACAGATTAAAACTAAAATACTTAATAAATGCCAGAAGATACTTTAAAAAAATGTAAATGTAAAAAACACGTCGCAAATGGCTTTACATAGCCAGAATGATAAAAAATACGAGCTGCTAATACAGGAGTAATCGAGTGTATAGCATGCAACTTTGTTTTTGAATTGCTTCATGTAACAGTAACTGTTAGCTCAACCGGCAGCTCAACACATACAAGTAGTTGCATGAAAGTTTCACCATATAGAGCCAGCCTTAGTCCATCCAGCATCTATCAGCATAGTAACAAACATGTGTATGGCTCTATTCTTCTCTTTCTGGTGTAAAAAAAATGCTCCAAAGTGAGAGGTGTGGGCAAAAGTAGAACAGGAGCTGAACCAACACAACAGAATAAAAAATGGAACTAAATAAAAAGCTGATTTGTTTTGCTCACTCATATACTTCAACAAAAGTAAAAGTATTACTCATTTATTACTCAGAAATTTTTGCTTAACCACATGCAACTTACCAAATGTAACTGCCTCCTCTGCTCTTCAGGAACAATAAATAGGGCTGAAAACATTTCCTTCAGTACAATGCCCTTCTAGCTCAAGCTCCTGATTCAATATGGAGGTGGTTAGTCTAGTTAAGATGGATTTTGGAAGCAAAACAATGCTGCTCACAAGGGAACTTCCGATCTGTTGTTGCCACAGTGCTTTAGGGAAAAGCCAGACTGGATCTGGATGTGATACTGGATCCTGTTTACACACCTATATTGAACAAATGTTACTTCAAAGCCAGAGTGAATGTGAAATCATAACTCATTCTCCTTCCGTAGTGTGATGTATTTGTGGGCGAAACACGGTATTGGTCCACTCAAGTAGAGGCTTAAGAAATACGTGATATTTGGCTGCCTAGCAGAGCCAGCTACCTTTCAAAACAGCCTGCCCTTAAGTATCCACCCTACAGCAGTTGTAGTTTTACAAAGGTTTCTGCCACCTTCAAAATACATCATCAGAAGGTGGTTTTCCTGCTCTTAACTGGTACTAGAGGCTGGAGGTGGGTGATGCAGCAAAAATGTAAAATCACATTAATTCAATTAAGTTTTACGAGATGCAATATGCCATGTTTTTTTTCTGAGCAGTGCCACATTTAAAGATACAGGGTAATTCAAAAAGATTCATGTGAGGCACCTAGGAACCAATCACATACCAATTGAAGAGAGGGTCATAGAGTTTCTGACTGTCAGTATGGCAGTGAACCTCCAACAGCTCAGAGCATTCGTCGTCGGTACCAGCAGTTCCAAGAAAAAGGTCACCAGCCTCACCAGATCTCATGCCATGTGACTTTTTTTGTGGGGGTACGTTAAGGATTCTCTTTATGTGCCACCACTCCCAACAATACTGGATGATCTCCAAAATCACATCGAAAGAGCCGTAAGTACAGAGACAGTTGAGTGTGGGAGTCACATTGGTGTTGTTATATTGAGCATTTGTAAAATTACATCATAAACTTTGTGCTCACTTAAACCATTTACAATTTACTGCATTGTTCTGTAATGATTTACAAGTGAAATAAATCATTTTGAAATCGGATTAATCTTTTTGAATCACCCTGTACTATCAAAAACTGTAAATGTGAATGCAGTGATATGTATTCAAAATGTCACATTCTTATTGAGCTCTTATTGTTTTATAAGCACTGACAACATCCCTAATATGCTCAGAAACACATATTGTGAAGTAATTTATCACAATAATTATAAATATTGTCAAACTACCCAGCCCTAGTAGAGGCTATGTTCACATTAGTGGACTAATTGGCCTGAATTGTTTTTTTCTTTGCCTAAAATGTGCATAGATGTGACTTTTTCAGTGCAGTGTGAACACTTCCTTTGTAATTAGATTTGAATCACATTTACGTGTGCCCCTAGATGGACTATATAGCTCAAACATGGCCATGGTGACCACAATGAGAATGGTTCACACCAAAACATCTCTAGCTTTTGTGCTTCACTGCACATTTCATATCACTGGTCATCATCCATTGTGGTCAGTAGGTCAGCAACGGCTGTGACTTGATAAAATGGGCTCATGTTTCAGGCTGCAAGTGTGTTCACACTAATAACCGATATGGGTCACTTGCACAGAGGAATGTGAAAATTGGATCTGTGCAAAAAGTAAATGAAGTTTGGAATGTAAGGAGTTCAATTCTACTTTCTTTTTCTGTCTGCTTTAGGAGAGAGAGGGTCACAAACTAACTCAGGGTAAAATGTAACATGGATATTTTAAGTAGTTAAACATTTTCAAGTAGAACGTGTTTAGTCATGTTTTCATGTTCCCATAGCAATTTCATCTGTGAATGTTCACAGCAACCTGACAGATGTTTCTAGGTTTACCCTAAAGACTTTTTTATACTATAAAAGTAAGTTCTTCATCATAAGTATTTTGGATTACTGAGTCACAGAACTCGCTCCTGTATTATTTTAATCTCCTTCCTAGAGGCTGTAATATAGCAATGTTTAGAAGCAGATAAACAGCTGAGAACCAGCCAGGCTAAAGTACAGCCTCCAAACAGGTTAGTTTAACACATTGTTACAACTAAGACCCCCAAAGTAAACAATCAGAGAACTCTAAATCCTCCGTACACACTCAAAACAGTCATTTTTTTTAAAAAGATGTTTTATGTACAGTCACTTAGTCACTTTTTTCTAATTTTATTTTTATTTCTTATTGATCTTATTTATTTTGTGCAGGCTGTGTAATAATCTTGCTCAAATTCCTTTTAAATTATTACACAAAAAACAAAAGATTTTAGGTGTTAGGTTGTACCCTGCTTCCCTCCTGTATGATTTTACTTGATCAGAGGCTGGGTTCACAAAAGCATCTTAAGAAAGAAAATCTTCTTAACATCAAAGTTAAGAAAAAAAAAGATAAATTATTATTCAAACATTTTTAACGAGATTTCTTCACTTTTTTATTTTCTCTTAAGAATAATTGTAAGAGGAAGTGGTATCCTTGAAAAAGAGATGTTCCTAAACAGTTTTCTAACCTTGCACTTACAATCTTACACTTCTCTTCTAAAACTGTAATGAGTTTTACGAAACATAACCTTTGCTGTAAGCTGTAAAATGTAATATGATATTGATAGCCTATTGCTAGCACAAGAAAATAATTTTTTAATTTCGTTAATTTCTTACGAGATCAATTGACAAGATTTTTCCCTCAGGGTAAACGTCTGTGAACCTGTCTGCTAGTAGTCACTTGGATCCACATACTAGTCAGCTCCGCCTGTATACTTAGGTATCTAGTAAGGGCATGGAATATAGATCCATCAAAATCCTGTACCCACCTGGATGCACTGAAATTCAGGCGAAGGTGCGCAGACGCCCTCCCCGTTCTCCAGCAGTGCCCCCGTGCTGTGCAGCAGGTGTCCCAGGCGATCCTTCACCGTCTTCCTTACCGTCTCATATTCTCCCTCCAGCTCCCCACCCATCTCCTCCACCTCTCGCACAATCAGGCACTCCAGCAGCTCCAGGCAGCGTTGCAGGGCTGAGCGCACATGGCCCACCTGATCCACCGTGGTGGGGGTGTCCGTACAGAGGTCAGGCGTTACCAAGCGGCCTCCTTCAGGGGATGTGCTGAGAGAGAAAACTCTCTCGCTCTTGCTGCAAAAGAGAACAGCAGAGCACATGCTGAAGTTAGCTTGGATATATAGTCGCTGTACATCTATCATTTTAAAAAAAGCCAAATTTTTTGGGGAAAAAAATATTGTTCCATTAACGCCCATTTAAAGTTAAGAACCTTTTTCCCTTTCTCCTCCATGTGTATACACATACACACACCCCCCCCCAGTACTATTCAAGCCTTGTAAACACATTTAAAACCACTTATTTTTGCAATAAGTGTATTTTCCTTGTGAAACAGCACATATATCTTTAGAATAAACGCAAATAAACATAAAAACAGTAAAAAGTAACATACATTTCTTATTTTGAAAAAATGATCTTGTGAACTGGTTAGATGTTTGGTTCCAGATTTCTCCTGGATGCGTCCAGCAATCGCACAGATATATTAAATTCCTTCAGCAGCACGTGATTTAATTTAATGAAGTACTGATTTGACAAACCAGGTATTGGATGAAAATTACAAATGATACTGGGCTACCTTGAGGAGAGGTTTGTACATAATTAATGAATAAATTAATGAATGAATAAATAAAGCAAACACACTGATATACATATCACCACAGGCATGGGTACATATTTTTAGTACTTGCCACTACCAAGTCCGATATCATACTGACAAACCTACTTAGAATAAAGTAGTTGTTTGTGTAAATGAGTGCAATGTACCTTAAAAATTTAATAATTAAAATCTAGCAATTGTATACAGTCAAACAGAGTAAAGTAGGTGAAATCTGGTCTGAAATGTTGACTTTTCTTTCATCTCTGTTTACTTGACCTGCCTTTCTGCACCCGTATTGGGGAAGCAGTTGTGATTGTATTTGTGTATTTAAAACAGGCTAAAAAGTTTAAACCGCTTTGTGTCCAAGTCAGTAACTCTGCCTCTTTGACTGTGTTTGTTCATTAGCATGGCATCATACACATGGACATCAGAATGATTGTATTGGCAAATTTTTATGAGTACGAGTAAATGAGCACGGTATTGGATACAAAAGATACCGGTATCGGTACTGATGCATCCCTCATACATATATTTATATATACACGGGTGTATATATAAATACATACTTAGGGGGGTGGGCTTTATACATACAAGAAACTTTAATGCTATATTAATGATTATTTCTATTATGACTAAAAGGCCAGCTGATTAACAAAATCATTTTTCACTGCAATTTTAGCTTACACTGAGGTTAGTGTGTATTTTTTCAGTATGATTTATTCTGTGTTAATGTTATCTCCTTGAAAAGTTCTATTCATGTAATATTTTCAGTTTAAGATCAAGGTGATACACATTTTATTGCCTTTTTCCTTTGTTTCCACCTATACTGAAGTTAGCATACATTTAAACAATATATAAAGTTAGCATATACTGTTTTAATATATGCTAACTTCAGTATAAGCATAATGATAATATAACTTCAGTATAAGTTTTAATAAATGAACACCCTTCACTTGTTTAATTTCCAGTCAAAACAGCCATTAACTACAAGTCACACTATAGCAGGGATATTATTCCACACCAACTCCTTCAGTCTTGGTTTTACATTTTCTGCTTCTCACAATCCAACAAATACCAAACACATTTAGTGATATTGAGGTCTGGACTCTGGGGTGGTCAGCCCATTGTTCAGAGAACACCAGCAGCTTCTTTGTTTGATTTATTGATTTCTTTTTCTCAGTAAGAGCTTCCTGACAGCTACACATCCTTTCAGACTCATAGTGGAAGGATGGACAGAAACACCTGTGGATGTTTTCAGATCTTCGACCTTCTCCTTCCTTATGCAAGTGGATTATGTTACAAACATATAATCTCTTCCGAAATATCGCCTGAAAAATGAATAACTCACACTTAAAGGCTGCTTTGACTGGAAATTTAATAAATGAAGTGTGGTCTCTGACTGTTGCACAGTACTGCACAACAGGATCCTTAATGTCTATTTATGCACCTTAAAAGGGTAACATTCTCTTTCTCCAGAGGAAAGTGGCATATTTGTACCTTTTGCTAATCTTAACTTTTTTAAACATAAAAATAACATTAAAAAATAGTCTAGAGTCAAGACAGGGTGTACGGAGTCTATAGGTACTTAAATGACAACGTCTAAAAATATCTGCATAATTAAATAATTAAGTTATAAACAAAGTCAGAGTGGTTTGGTGTGAAATGCCCCGTTCTAGTCAGAACTGTTCACAGTGGTGGTAATAGGAACCAGACGTCCACCTCTTACAGCTGACTCTGACGTCCACGCTCCCTTACAGAAAGTTATTACATGAAATGGTTGTGAATACACTGCCTGACAACAGAAGATTTTGGCCAAAAACATGTGTTTTTTTAATCCATTCATGGTGGAGGGGTACATGAGGGACATTGTGAGGTACAATAGTCCCCAAAGAAACCTTATTTTTCCACCAGATTGCCAGATTTTTTTCCCCTATTACCACCACTGTAATGACATCTGAGTCTCTACAATTTCACATCAAACCACCCAGAACGGCTTTATTTACATTTCAACCACTGACTTATGCAGAAATTTTTAAAAATGGGTGGAGTTCCCCTTTAAGATATTTTAGAGGGTTCTGTGCCCTGAAATATACAGTTTAGTGCCTTTTTTTCTGAGCCTGTCTCCGGCTTTGGCTAATATTGGAAGCATCAGACACCCAACACTCAATCCACTTGAGTGCCCCCCTGGATGGGAGGAAGATGAATGTTGCCCCGAGTTAATTCAATAAGGACACAGTACGCAATGGCAAGCAAGGACATCAGTATTACTGCCTAAGGAATGACTAGCATGGATGCTACCGCTAAAAACGAGTTTACAGCGCACACTGCTGTTACTAGCGTCATTTTCACTATTATTATTGTTATTGACAGGTGCAGGAACATGGCTGGCACGCGATTTATGACAGGAATGTGGCGAGCTGACATACAAAGATAACGGTACACGCGGGAAAACAGTCCGAAGCCTCTAAAACGCGGGTTTTTTTTGTGGTTAGAAAAATAAACACGACATACTTACATATAACTGCAGTAACTGTTTGCAGTCCTGGTGCAGTAAGTCAGCCAGAGCGACCGCGCGACTGGTGGCTGAGCGGCCCGGGGCAGGCGCGTCTGAGCCCGGCTGTCCCTCCATACGCGCACGCGGGGGCTGGATTTATAGAAATGGGTCTGGAGAGTCGATATGTAGAGGCTGTGCTCACGAAGAAGCACCGACCGAGACGATTTCGTACTAATGTGTGCTGCGCTGGAGTGCTGCACTGCTGTGTTTCATTCCCGGACTGAGCGGACGCTCAATGCTCTTGTTGATCAGGCAGCAGGCTCTGTCTGTGGGGGCGTGGCCAATGGAATGGCTTCACTGCTACGTCATCGGAGCGGACCCGATCCCGCGGCTTGGTCCTGAGAGTGGGTTTAGTCTGGTTTAAAGGGGAATTCCGCCCATTTTTTAAAATTTCTGCATAATTAAACACATTCAATCAGAGTGTAAATTTCTTTACAGTGGTAGTGATAGGAGCCATGGGTCACAATGTCTACAACACAAATATAGTTATGTTATTTACTATCTAAAACCACCAGTGAGCCTAAAATGGTATAAAATCTGAAAAAAAAAAAAAAACAAATAAATAAATACTTTCTTTGGGGACTATTTTGCCTTGCAATGTCCTGCATGTATTCACTATAGATGGATTCAAATAAATGAATAAAGATATTTTAGGCCAAAGCTTGATCTCAAAACTATCATAAAACAATCAGGCAGTGTATTCATTCTGTAAATTTCTGTGAGGGATGTCTGGTTCCTATCACCACTATTGTAATACTGCAGGGTAAGTTTCTCTAGAACAGAGCATTTCACACCAAACCACTATGAATGACTTTGTTTAACCATTTAATTATGTAGAAGTTTTGAAAAATTGGTGGAGCTTCCCTTTAAGCCTTGTACTAACATTCATACAACAACAACAACAAAAACAATAACAACAACAACAACAACAACAACAACAATAATAATAATAATAATAATAATAATAATAATAAAAGACCAACCTTGTGTTTTATAGGGGAATTCAAATTTTCTAAATCTGCACAGTTTAATGGCTTAAATGTAAATAGAGGCTTTCAGAGTGGTTTGATGTGATGCATTCTACAGGCCAATTTGAATAGAAGTAGGAATGAAGAGAAATATATAAATAAAAGGCTTGTCTCAGTATAATAGGAATCAACACTGGGATAAAAAAGCTTAATCTAGGTACATATTTAAAAAAAAAAGCTCTGCAAAAAAAAGAGAAGGTCCTTGGTTAGGGTAATTTAACATTTTGCACTGAATGTTTACTGTTCTTTGCAGCAATTAAGCAAACAAGACAATCAGTCAATCAAGTCTGAATACAAAGGACAACATATAGCTATATAAAAACTTTATCTGAAATTTTTCAAAAATTCTTGCATAATTCAGTGGTTCAGATGTAAACAAAATCATTCAGAGCGGTTTGGTGTGAAATGGTTCATTGTAGAGACTCTTTCTTTACAGTGGTGGTGATAGGAACCGGGGTTGTGATGTGTACAACACAAATATAGCCATTTTATTTACTATCCAAAACCACCAGTGAACCTACACATGTCTTGTGAGTTTGTACATGCAGTGTTGTTCATGGTAAAAAAGTTTTCTTTGGCCAAAAGCTTCTCAAGACTATTGGAAAATGACAAAATAACTTTCTGTGTTTCTGTGAGGGAGCTTTTAGAGATAGACATCTGGTACCAATCACCATCACTGTGAACAATTCTGACTGATTTCTCCAGAACAGAGTGTTTCACACCAAACTATTTTGCATGAATTCCCCTTCCGGCCTCCCACCATTGAAATGTAATTGGATATTCGAATCGTTGGATGTATGGGTGGACATTGCTGCTTTGGTGTTTGATGAACATGACATCATGTGACCAACCATCCTGGAACAATACAGCCTGATAGGAATAGGTGAGTGTTAATGCTAATCCCAGTGCATGTTTCATGACATCCATCTGGGAGGGTTCAAATGGAGGTATTGTGCCACTTCTAGAGACTGCAGCAAGATACTTACATTTGGTCATTCAGCTAATGTAATTGTCCATGGAAATGTGCATTAGCCTTTTACAGGGCAGTCCCTGTGGAGCCATTCAGGATTGAGTGTCTTACTTAAGGGCATATTAGTAGCAGACACCATCTGGGAGCGAAGGGCAAAACTGTTGAACATATGGACAGTCCGGGAATATCATCTGCAGCATGATGATGTACTTTGCATGTTAATACTTCAAACATGGTCATAATAACAAAACAGTAAAATTACTTATTTGCACTTTGTTATGCTTACAGTCACTGACAGATCTTAAATTGGAATATAACACATTATTTAAATATAATGGATTATTTGGATAACTTGTAATGTGCAAAAAACAAATGATTCTTGCTACCGTTAGTATGGTGCTATCTGTGTAATAGCGAAGTTGGGGGTCAAGTTGGTTAGGGCCTTCACTGAAGACCTAATGATTTATGTGTAATAATATTAACAATAATAACAAACATGCCAGGCTTTATATAATACAATTAGCGTGCTTCAGAACCATCCCAAATTGATGTCATGCTTGTTTTATTCAGGGATTGTACTCTAATTTCATTGTTATGTTTTGGTTGGAAACAAAAGGGTTAAATGGAATAGCCAATGGAAAATTGTACACTCAGGATTGCTTTCTCTGTGATAACTAGGTTCATACAGCCAAGCAAGGAATTGAACTGAAGGCCTTACACGTTAGTTTAACTACCAACACAATCAGGATTCTAATTAGGACTGCAATTACAGTGGGTGGGAACCATTTCCTGAGAAAAACATCTCTCAAGGTCTTCTGAATACTAGGTTTAAGTCAGTTGTTAGAAATGGAAAACAGCAGCAATAGCCCTATGTCAGGACTTGTCACCATAAAATGGATACATACAGGCTCAAACATATGTTAATTATAAGCTTCAAATAAAATGCATGGGATGTTTTCACAAGCTTCAATTGTCTGTCTTTAATCTAGAATGTGAATCCCATAGAGGGCTAGCAAGTATTAGCATTATCATAGATGTGGGTTGACTTTTTTTGACATTTATAGACTGAATTAAGTTAAGTTGCCTTTTATTAATTCCACAATGGGGAAATTCACCTCTGTATTTAACCCATCTGTGCAGTGAAACACCCACATACACACTAGTGAAAGCACACACACTAGGGGTCAGTGAGCACACTTGCTCAGAGCGGAGGGCAGCGGCATCCACAGCACCCGGGGAGCAGTTGGGGGTTAGGTGCCTTGCACATACTGTCGGCTCAGGGGATTGAACCAGCAGCCTTCGGGTCACAAGGCTGGTTCCCTAACCTCCAGCCCAAGACTGCCCCCAATTGAAGGCCTATCTCTAACAGTAACAGTCCACCACTGAAAAAAAAATCCATTTATGCATGATCTAAGTAAAGGCAAACAGTAGATTTTGCTGCTCTAATTAATGCTCTTGGTTCTTCAGACCTGAAAGAGACCCATGGCCACCATGAATGTGTCTTGGTCAAATACCCTTCAAACCCTTCCTTTCTGGGAGTGTCCTGCAAAAGCATTTAAATTTTACACTTTGATTTCTGCATTTCAGAAACTTCATAATGTATAAAAATCCATAAATGATGAACTAACAGCAATGTAACTTCAGTCAGCCCCAAAGGCTCTAAAATGTCATTCTGAGGGGGTGCTACCTTCTCCAAACGAGCCTAACGTTTAGATGCAATAGAGTGCCATCTAGTGGACTGCTTCGACAATGAACACAGCATGATTTTCCTCTACTGAGCAAGTCTCTTAGATGGCTTCATGCAGCAGAGCAGTGTTGCCATGTTGATCTATCCACCTCAAAGACAGCCATTCTTGTATGGATAAACCACAATTAAACTCAAAGCTAGCAAACCATGTAAGCCTGCTTTGTAGTACACCCCAGAAAGAAAAAAGAGCAACAACAATAAAATATATATCTAATATAAATTAGAAAAAATGACAGGAAACAGGCAGTTTCTCACATGTATTTAAATATATATAGCTTCACATATATTGCTTTATTTATATATTTTATGTGTAATAAAGTATATGAGTTCATGAGCACTCATTTTTAATAAATTTAACAGACACAGTTTGAAGCTTGTCATTTTAGTCAGCTCAGCTTCTCGGTTCATGCAAAAGTATATGTTTGCCTAGCACCCTAGCCATCTAGCCAACCTGGCTTTGTAGCTGTGCCAGTTAAGAAACCCTTTTCTTTGTAGCTGTTTTTGGCCAAGTTCTGACCAAGCTTTTTTTGGCTGATTGTTAGAGAGCTAGCATAAAAATTACAGAGTGGTAGCAGTGCTAGCTAAATTCTCTGACTACATTTTCTGAGAGGTTTGATTAGCTATTAATCTGACATAATATCAATATATACAAACATAAATGTGTAACACATATATTAAACAATATGTGCTAAAAACAGACATTTCTTTATGGATGACATTTATTACTCATATGCTGGCTTCATATGTTTTTTATTTCTCCCACATACTTCCTAATGAAGCGATATGGTATAACAGCTACATAGCCAAACTCTAAAACATGTAATAAAACAATCAACACATGAAATAAATGAAAATATTGTTCACTGACACGTAAACAATTAAATGGTCAAAAACCAAAGAGTTAACATGGTAACAATTAGAAACATACTGGGATGCATTCAACCATGTATCAGACTTATATGTATGATCGATGTATTTTGAATATATGTCCAACATTTCATACATACATTTATGTAAATGACATATGTAAATATATTCAGAAATATGTGCATGACACTTTGATATGTGTGCATATATGGGCATACTTATGGGTATCCATGAGAATGTCATGTCTCAGGGCTAAAGTACTGACCTTTAATTGTTTTTTTTTTTTCTGTATTTTTAAAAACATTGAGTCCAAAAGTGCAGAGGAATGTTTAGAACAGTTGGGCCTGTTTTCAGTCTGCTGATGTTTAAAAGCATTCAGCTTGGTGAACTTGGTCCACTTTAGCATGGAATGCGGAAAAATAGCACCAGTGATTTGAAGCCTTAAAATGCAATCTGCAATATCAAACACAATGGTTTCCTACTGCATTCAACCATAAATACAATATCATTTCCAAAAAAGTTGGGACGCTGTGCAAATTGTAAATAAAAACAAAATGCAACAAAAAATGCAATGATGTGCAAATCATTTAAACCCTATATTTAACTTAAAACAGTACAAAGATATCAGAGGCTGCA